TGAGAGACTTGAGATGATCGATAAAAGACCTAAAATTGGATATTTTTATTAAAGACATTTTATCTAAAAGGTACTTAATTAGGGACATATGAAGAGAAATTAAATCTATTAATTGCATACCCTCGAAATCGGGTTGTTGCAGGGGCTAGAAGGAATTCCACTGAAAATTCAAAGTCGCTAACCCTTAAAACTTGTTTTCTCGAAAACTGAACCTTAACATCATAGTTCTAAGGCTTTATATATTTGCTTGAAATTTTTGCGTACAAAAGTGCTGCCCTCTATGATCTCCGGATGAAAATACGAAAATACTTTCGTTTCTCGAGTTATAAAATTAATAAAACTTTTTATTTCATGAAATAAAATAGACGTCCTAAAATTTCCGGTGGTGAAGTGTGTAGTGAAAAAAATGAAGTCAGGATTTTAGTGGTGGCTACACTCCAAGCGGTTTATTTGAGAATATCACCACACCTCTAATTTTCTTATTGAAAAACTCGAAGTTCAAGAAAATGTAAAGAATTTTTTCTTCTGTAGTTTACATTTATTCATTCCAGGGTTATTTGATGTTATTTCAAAGGGTGATGGAGAGTGTGAAACATGATAATACTTATTAAATATCAATTTAGATAAGGTCAGAGAAGGGGTCAGTGGAAAAATTATCAAAAATAAACGAAAAGAAAAAATCTTTAATGTGAAACAAAATTCCTTCTGAGTTTAGAACGCAATCGGAACTGGAACGTTCACTTTCGCACACCATCCCACTTTGAAGCATCCCAAGAGATATTAAATTCTACAATAAAAAAAAGAAACGTTTCTAAAGAAGTAAAGAATACTTCATTCTATTATATTAAACAATTCATTTTTTTCTTATTGAAATATTGTCAGGGTAAATAGAAATTGGAATTATTAAGGTGCTTGGTTGTTTGATGAATTGAAACTGGAGGTGCAAAAAGTTTATTAAAAACTTCAGCTTGGACAAATCTCAATTCACATTAAGAGACGATAATCATTCAACAAAAATTGCTTTCCACGCGTCGAGAAAGAAAGTTATTTGGAGAAGGAGCATTCAAAATCAAAGGCCGCCAACCTGGAACTGATGGAATTAGAAAATATTGTGGCCAATACGGTCTACCTCAAAGCCAGAGAAGGTATGTTCTGCTTCTTTGAAACGAGCTCGTTATGAGTTTCTGTCTCAGTAAATACCATAAGCGAGTGAGTGATGCTGTAAAAAAATAAATCTATTTAGGTATCTTATCAAAAAAAAAAAGTAATCTAATTTTCTTTGCAACTCGAGAGACGAGGACAATCGTCAATGGGTTTACTTTGTTTTATCTCCAATCTCACACAAAAAAAAACAAATTAAATTATGTTTTATCACTCAAGATTCGAGAGAAGAAAGATAAACTTATGGATCTCTTTCATAATACTAACGACACTTACTCGCAAATAGCTCTCTGATGAATTAATAAAGACATTAAGTATGATATAAAAATTGGACTTTTTAAGGTGGCTCTGACAGCAACAAAGGGAAAAGTAAAAAGTGGCGTAAAATTCTCCAATTTCCACACATATCTCAATGCATAGATCTCAAGAATAAAATAGGTGAGTTGGTCATTCCTTCTAGTTTTGTCCTTTTCCTTTATAAATCTATTTAGATATACATGAGTAAGCTTTTCAAAGATCTTTATCATAATATGTGTGAAATGTAAACTGAATGCTTGATTCTGCTTTGCTCCCTATAGATGTAAGCTATGATTATGTAGTCGACCAGCAGCCCATTGGTAAAGTACTTTTCCGACAATTCTGTGAAAACAATCGGCCAGAGTTCCACAGATATGTTTTATTTCTCGAGAGCGTATCAAGGTAAAGTATAAAGTCTTCTTTTCCTAAATTATATGTCCCATCGCCTCCCCCGTCACCACCACAACACTCGAAAGTATTTTTGATTTACATTTGCTTGACATCTTTTTTTTCCTTTTTTCCTCTCTCTCACTCTATTTATTTGATAATACATACAATAAACCAAAAAGGTATGAAGTGGAATCAGATGAGAATAGAAAAATAATGGTAATTGATATCGGACGACGTTTCATGGGAATTGATGTTGACATCAAAGAACATGATGAGAACAACGAGAAAACAGAGCTTAACAGCCTCAACAATCAAAATAATGTTGTTTCATCACCGAAGCATATTCAAAGTAATGAGAAAAGTGAAGGTCAATCAGAGAGCGATTTCGTTATCGATATATTAAATGATGAACTTATTTCGCAAGTGAAGCAGAAGATTCAGAGTATGTTGTTTTATTGAATACAAGAAGAATGAATATCACTCAATTATAATTGAATAGTGCTCTAAATTTAATTAATTTTCTCTACCCATAGATTCTCCTAAAGAGCTTTTCGAGTCATGCTTTCATGCAGTTAAAAACTACTTGGCTGGTGAACCGTTTAGAGAGTTTGAAACGTCAATGTTCTTTCATCGGTGAGTTGTGTTGTGCAGGGTATAAATACTGAATATATATTTACATAAGTGTGTATGTGTATATAAGAAAATCAATTCACATAATTAGCGATTGTGTAATGTTAATTCCCCCGTCAAGATTTAGAAATGGGAAAAATAGAGACAGACTTACAGTCATAGTTCCGTCTGACAAATAATAGTGACGCACACGTGATAAATAAATCTTTTTATTTACAGTCATTCCTTTGAGGATTACAGCTATGTGAATTTATATATTCAGTTCAGATTAAACTCAACTGTTTATTTTACGTAGCACATTACGTTACGTCATAATAAAAAGCTTTGATTGTACAAAAAAGAAATGAAAGTCGTGCGTTTGCATAATAAATATAAAAAGATTGACGACGATCGATATCCTTTCAATGAATGAAGTGATTTCCTCTTAAGAAACTTAAGACACTTTAAAAACTTTATTATCTCTTTTACTGTCCTTATGAAATTAATTTCTAAGTAGATAAACTGATTTTAACTTACAAAATGCTTTCTTTTGCCTTTAGCTATCTTCAATGGAAATGGCTTGAAGCCCAACCAATAACTTATAAAACATTTCGAATGTATCGTGTTTTGGGAAAAGGTGGATTTGGCGAAGTTTGTGCCTGTCAGGTAAAAGAAATTGAATCAAAAAATAAGAAATTTTACCAACAATTTTTTTATTATTAAAATTCTTGTTGTTAAAGGTGAGAGCTACAGGCAAAATGTACGCATGTAAGAAACTTGAAAAGAAAAGAATAAAAAAGCGAAAAGGTGAATCAATGGTGTTAATTGAAAAGCAAATATTACAAAAGATCAACTCAAGATTCGTCGTAAACTTAGCGTACGCTTATGAAACTAAAGATGCACTTTGTCTTGTCCTAACAATTATGAATGGTAAGTGAAGAAACTATTGATTTCTTAACAAGTTTTAATTTAAATCAATTATCAGGAGGAGATTTAAAGTTCCACATTTATAACATGGGTGGTGAGCCTGGCTTCGAGCTTGTTAGAGCGCGATTTTATGCAGCCGAAGTTGTTTGTGGACTTGAACATTTACACCAACAAGGAATCGTTTACCGTGACTGTAAACCTGAAAATATTTTACTTGACGACCATGGACATGTAAGAATATCAGATTTAGGTTTAGCTGTTGAGATTCCCGAAGGGGAAATGGTCAGGGGACGTGTTGGAACTGTCGGTGCGTGAACAATATGAGATTGCCAATAAATTTCTGTCTTTTAATGTCCTTCTTTATCGTTATTATTATTATTTTTGTATGTTTTAGGCTACATGGCACCAGAAGTAATCGATAATGAAAAGTATTCGTTCTCGCCAGACTGGTTTAGCTTTGGCTGTCTCATTTTTGAGATGATTGAAGGCCAAGCGCCTTTTCGAGCACGTAAGGAAAAGGTAAAACGAGAGGAGGTTGATAGACGTGTCAAGGAAGATGTGGAAAAATATTCAACAAAATTTAGTGAAGAAGCCAAATCACTTTGTCAACAGTTGCTTATAAAGTCGGCCAAGAATCGATTAGGATGTCGGAATGGTCGTCAAGGTGCCAAGGAAGTTAAAGTAAATCCTTTCTTCAATTGCATCAATTGGAAACGTCTCGAAGCTGGAATGATTGAGCCACCATTCATTCCCGATGTAAGTTTTTATCTTCTTAATATTATGAATTGAATAAATAAAATCACTTTTCACTCTTTAGCCACATGCTGTTTATGCGAAAGACGTTCTCGATATTGAGCAGTTTTCAACAGTGAAAGGTGTCAATCTTGATGCTACTGATGAAAATTTTTATTCTAAATTTAACACCGGATCAGTCTCAATTCCATGGCAGAATGAAATGATTGAGACAGACTGTTTGCGTGAGTTGAATGTCTTCGGTACGAGTGATAATCCAACGCCCGATCTGCTTATAAATGCACCACCGATTGACGAGAAGCCTGGATGTTTTCCATTTAGACGAAAGGTAAATACAGAAAAAATGTTTATTTCTCATTTATTATTTACAAGACAAAAAAGATCTTCCGATATTATTAAATAAATGTAAACTCAATTATTTATTTATTTCTCATCAATTTTCGTAGAAAAAGCAACTGCCTCGAACAAAGCCAATTCCCTTTCCTGAACATCTTTTGACGTCTAGTCAATCAACAACCATAAACGCATCGAATGAAAGCTGATAAACTGATCAAAACAATAATCAGCTTGTAATTTCATTTATTATTTGTTGTTTCAAACAAGATTAGCTTCCCCTTTCTGACGAAGAAAAAATGAATCAGATTGAAATAAGGATAACAAATGAAATCATAAATACAAGCAAACAACTGGAACTAGGAATTCTCAATTCTACAGAAATTTTTTTTATTATTTTATCGAATAAATTCGAATCTTTTTATTTAACTTTTCTTTCTTTATTTTGTACTACGAAGTTTTGAATAGATAACAAAGAAAATTCAAAATAAGAAAAGAGAAGAAGAAATGTGTCGGCAAATCTCTGATATTGAATCACAAGTAAACAAATGTAAGAGTATTAGCAAGAAAAAGAAAAATCAATGTTTAAATTTGATTTAAAATTAAATCTGATTCAAGCCATTTATAGTTATTAAAAATTAAAAATAATAATCACGATAAACTAAAGTAGGTTAAACGAAGGTGAAAATGTTTCTCATATTTTTACAATCTTGAAGATTAATTGACTTAGCGATAACTTATACAAATAATTTATAATTTTTTATTTTGTACGAATATATTGCTTTGAAGCCAAATGTTTTTTAAGTATATTTTAAATGAAATGCAGAATCAAGATTTAAACCACATCTTTCTCATGATGAAAGCTCATAAATTATCAATAGAAAATAGTCGAAAGCTTTTCGCTTATTACGTCGAAAGTTCATGAAAATTATGTAACGTTGCGTACGTAAAAGTTTAACATACGTCGAATGACGAACGTAGAACTTCCGTAAATATTTGAACGTAACAATATCTTATGTTACGTCGTCGGTTGCGTTAAAAGCTTTTACGTATTCAAAGCTTCACAATTTATATGAAATTTTCATTAAAATCCTCATAGAAAACTCCAATAAATGTAAGATTTAAACACAGAAGGATTTTTGATCATTTAATAATTTTGAAATCCAATAATTATTACATTTTCCTCAAACGCATTCATATATGATTCAAGATTGGTGCAACAGTTGTCCTGGCGCCAAGAAGCTTTTTTTTATTTCCTTTCTAGTCATTATCATTCGAACAACAGTAGTTCGAATAGCTTACAATATAAAGCTGACGCTGTTGAATTCAAATGAACCACAAAATTATGTTCACAATCAAATAACATTCCAGAAGTTCCGAAAGAATATTTGAAAAATTACATTTTTTTATTCATAAAATTGCAACAAGGAAAAGAATCAGTTTTTGGTATCGTTTAATCTCTTGATTAATGTGACATAGGAGAAGTGAAAGAAGAAAAAAATAATACATAAATATTTGATATTCAGCACAAGTTGCATAATAATAATAATAAAAATAATAATAATAATATTGAAATATAATAATAAATAAAAAGAATAATAATAATGGATAAAGAATAATCATCATCATCATCATCAGCATCTCTACTCGTCTAATACAGAGAGATTATCTAAACCATCTCCTTCACCCTAAAATATAACAAAAAAAAACTCATTTTTAGAGATAATTTGATGTCGTAGGCTAAACAAATAGATCTGTAAAGGTTAATAAACATGTTGAAGAAGGAGAAGAAAAAAAGGATTAAGGAAGCTTAGTAGTTTATAACACGCAATGCAACATCACCCATCCATAACATTCATTGTTACTTTTGACTGGGCAACGAAAAACAATCATCATCATTTTTAGAAACGTGAAAATGTTTTCCCATTTGAGATGTGAAAATCGTAAGCAAATGATAAGTAAAAAAGAAAAAAAATTGTGTCACAAAATTAAATTTGAGACGATCAAAAAAAGAATATTTGTACTCGTTGTAAGTTGAATAATAGAAAATAAAAAGAAATTGAAAATTATCTGAAAGAAAACATTTACTTTTGACTTTTATAAGCGTCTTGAGTGAGTCAAGAACATCAAGTGGATTCTTTATTTTCTTTTTTATAAAACGTTACCATTTTATAATGGATTGTTCGTTAATTTATTTTCTTTCTTTTTTTCTCTCTCTTTATTTGTTTCAAAGCAAGCATGTACTTGTAGCTACTTGTGTACGTACTTATTTAGACGTTTATTAATTTTCATTCATTTTAATCTTTATGCACGAATACATTACGGCTTTTAAATTCACTTCTTAAAAAGGATTCAATTTACGAAAAGACGTGTAGAAGCAGTTTCAAGTCATCATCCAATTTCTTTTATAAATAAGTAGACCGACAAATCTTCCTTCAATTCAAATCCTTTGTTGAAACGCCTCTCTTGGTGAAATATATCTAAACGTGACATTCTTGTTGAACTCTTCTTAATGTCATCTAATAAACATTTTATTACAATTTCTTTCTCTCTTCAGATTCTGTGGCTTTAAGAAAAACGCAAAGGAATTGATGGTCTTGGTAATGTGATGCAACATTCTCCGAATACAAACGGCATGGAATGAATTCCAAAGCTCTCATGAATAAAAAATGTTTGCCTTTGGGAATGTGAAAAGTTTTCCAAATATTTACATTGATTTTAATTTGAAGCTCTAAAGCTTTAATGAATGAAAGCTTGCTTTAAGTCTCCTTTAAAGTCGAAATGTCAGTATATCATTCGTCCTACATGAGACAAATTTTTGTATTATCGTTCCCCTCCATCATCTGCCTAAGAGAAAATGCCGACTAAACGAATCTGCATGCTTATAAATAATTTGTGAAAGATTTGACAACGGCAAAAGCACCTACATCACGTGAAAGTTTAATGTGTGTATACAGATTCCAATGGTTCTATGCGCAACTGCGAGAAACGGCACGAACGCACACTGTTGCCCCGTAAAACCACCCCACTTCTGGCTAGGTTCGTTTCTTGTGATATTTATTCAGTTTTCTTACAACTGTCTTCGAATGTAAGCTATACTCTTTCATGCAGAAGAAAAAATATCAAAACCTATGTTGGATATGAAAATAAAAATAAAATTTAAATAGAAAAGTAAATTTGAAATGAATTTATACAATTTGTTGGCAGTCTAAAGACCTTATTGAGTTGCTTACAAATCAGTGAAACGCAATTATAAGTGAAGGTGGAGTGAAAAAAAAGGTTTCCCTGAAAGCAGAGAAAAATACACAGAGAAGAAAAAAAAATAAAGTAAAGAAAAGAAATCTTTCCCTAACAAGTGACAGAAAAAAAAGCTTTCGAAACGACGAAAGGAAATCAATATTCAAAAATTAATAAGAAACAAATTATAGGATTTTATGAGGCTCGTTGAAAATGCTAAGACGAAAAATGATTGTAACTTCTGTACTCTTCATACTTGTAGCGCATTCAGTGTTTTAAGTAAGTAAATAGAAACAGATATTCCTGCTTCATAGAAAAGAAAAGGAAAAAACGAGAATTCTCTTGCCGAAAGCAAAAAAAAGTATAACAATCTGAAAGAAAGTCATGAAGTATCGATTAATGTTCTGTTTTTGAGTGTAAAAGTGCTTTTGTGAGCAATAGTGTTCAAGGTTAATATATTTACAACACTAAAATGTTAACGCAACTTCTGTATGTAGAAGAAACAAAAGAAATTGGCAAGTGAAGTGGAATTCAAATAATTTAATTCATTACGTATGAAACACATCATGCATTCAATGTGACAATCCGAAAGCAGATATAAATAACACAAAATCAGTAGGAGAACGAATACAACCAAATTTCATTGTGCAATGATGTGAATTAATCAATGTTAATCATCAATTGATAAGTTTAACAAACAACACTTCAATTCAATTTTCCACACTTAATTGCTTTCGAAAAAACCAAATATAAACCACTTGACAATGTTGTCTAATCTAAATGGAACAAAAGAATCGATGAGTGAAAAATCGGATGTCGAGAAAGATCAGAGTCAAGATGATTTACAGAAAGTCAGCGAGTTCTTTGAAGCGAACGCAAGCACCATTGAGAGATGGTTGAAGGAGAAAGCTCCCGATGAAGTGATAAATCAAATCAATTCAATTGTTTCAAAACATAGAGTTTGTGAGAAGGAACATCGTAGCTCGGTAACTTCAGAGTTGTATCAACAATGGCTTTCATCATCAGCAACCCCTTTGAAGGTGAGTTTGTTCTTTCCCTTTTCTGTGTCCCACAAAAACCAAACCACTACCAACAATCGACTTTAAACGAAAATATTCATCAGATCGAGTAAAGAGATAGAGTGAGAGAGAAGAAATTAATTACAGCCTACACGATTTTTTTTCTAAACACTTCCGTTAATCTTTCAAGCATCATAATTCAAATTTTTCCAAACACGACATCAATAATTGTTCGTGCATAAACAAGATTGTGAAGTTTTTCTTTTTTCACCGTCAGATGACGAGAAGTGTATGAAGTCTACAAGTCTAAAAATGTCTTCTTTGCCTTCTTTGCCTTCTTTTTTTTTGTTCAACATCGACATCGAAGAAAACGGAAAAGTAATTAAAAAAACATTAGAATTGATAATGAAATGTTTATGAGCTCTAGCTGTAAGAAAAATAAATGAAGCTTTTGAGCTAATTATCTTGATTCTATAAAACTGGAAAGAAAGAAAGAAAAGGAAAGTCAGAACATTGAAATATGTTGATTTTTCTTCTCCCACCCCCGCATAAATACTTAAGAACAAACCTGTGCAAATTCATGTAAAAGGTTAATTACCGAAGAACTTCAGTTCGATGTTTCTGACAATATCTCGCTCTTCAACTGTTTGATGGAAAAACTTTCGACGTTATCTGTTCAAAGTTGCATGAAGTTATTACTTGGATGAAAATAAATCCTAGATAGGCTACTACTTACTTAAATATCTATAAAACTCTGTTTGTGATGTTCTGCCATGTAATCTCATGAGACACGTGAACTAAACTGAAGCAACCACCAAACTTACCTAATTTCAAAAATGATTGATGTCATTCCTCAAACGTCTCATTAGCTAAGCTTTCGAGCTTCAAAAACTTTCTACTTATATACATACATGAGCTTTCACATTCGTTCATATGAGAATGTTGCCAATCATGTTGTGATGTTCCGCTATTAATCTGGATTATTCTTCTCCCTTGATTGTGAATCACTTCTAAGTTCATGAATGAACAACGAAAAGCTTTCTCACTTCTCTTTATTCTGTCTTAATGCAAAATTCCTCTGTTGATTCGGTTTCGAGTTCCACTGAAACTTTAATGAGAAGCTAAGTGTTTTCCAAGATATTTAACAAAAAGAAGGATAAAAATGTTCGCTCATTTACAGTTAAGCTCTCCGTCTTACAAGGCCGATACAAGAAAAAACTTATCGCAACTTGACGAAGGTGAACTTTTCATGGAACTTATAAAAGATGTAGCTAACGAGCTCGATATCGACGTGTTATGTCATAAGATTTTGGTGAATGTCGGACTACTGACACATGCTGACCGCGGTTCACTCTTTCTTGTGAAAGGAGGAAACAGCAATTCTCGTTATCTTGTTGCAAAGCTCTTCGATGTCACTCAAGACACGGGTAAGGGATAAATCATTAAAAGCAAGTTTTCGTGTCGAAATGTGCTTTATCAGCATCACATATCGTGACTCGTCTTACGTTGTTACTTTTCTCTTTCTCTCTCTTTGCTTCATTTTCCTTTTCAAAAAAATGATAACAGCACTCGATGACGCAATCCGCTTGGCAAAATCGGAAGAGCTTATCATTCCGTTTGGGGTTGGCATTGCAGGGCATGTTGCTGAAACGAAAGAGATTCTGAATATTAAAGACGCATACAAAGATCCTCGTTTCAACAGTGAAATCGATTTAAAGACTGGCTACAAAACAAATATCATTCTGTCGATGCCGATTTGTAATTATGAGGGCGAAGTCATCGGTGTCGCTCAAATCATAAATAAAACAAATGGTAAGGCTATGATGGTGGTGGCGTGACTTGATCAATTGCTATGCTGCTATTAATTCTTTCAATTTTATTTTCTATTTTATTTCAACGTCAATTGCAGGGCAAGAAGAATTTACTGAGCGCGATGTCGAAGTTTTCAGACGTTATTTGACTTTTTGTGGGATCGGTAAGAGAAATAAAACTTTTTTTTACTTCTGCCATGTAAACGGCGTCGATGAATAAATACCACAAAAGGATCATTTTTTTCCTTTTCTTTCTTTTATTTTTCTTTCTGACACTCAACAGGTATTCAGAATGCGCAACTCTTTGAGAACAGTGTTCTTGAGTACAAACGCAATCAAATTCTATTGAATTTAGCTCGCAGTATTTTTGAAGAGCAAAACAATTTGGAATGTCTTGTAACAAAGATTATGAAAGAGGCTCGAGATCTTCTCAAATGTGAACGCTGTGCTGTTTTTCTCGTTGATTTGGAATGCTGTGAATCGGTAATGAATTGAAAACGTTGTCATTATCACAACATTAACCATCGTCTTTTATTCACTCATTTCCGTCCCTCGTTTTACAGAGTCATTTAGAGCGAATGGTTAAGTCAACGAATCAAATTGATTATGATGAAAGCAATAGAGTTGACAATGACGCAAAAAAGGTAAACAAAAAAGATGAATAAAAAAGAATTGTCGTGATAATGGATTTAGATGTTATCACTTAATAAATAATATTTCATTACTCTCATTTGTATTTTTTTTTGTCGCACCCCCGCACTGGGATATTCAAAAAATAAAAAAAGGAAAAGGTTCTTCAAGCACCACCAAAATTTACCAGGATTTTTGAGATGGTGAGACATGACAAAGCACACAAAAGGATTTAATGACGATAATTGAGCGTGATTCCTTATCTTTTGACTTTATTTTTGCTTTCGTTTCTTTCTTTACAATACTTTTGCTTGGCTTGCGTGTGATATCGTAGGGAGGAAGTGACATCATTGCAAACATTAATCGTCCGTCCATTGAAGATATCAACAGCTCGATATTTGCTCAGATTGCATTACATGTTGCAAAGACTGGAGAGATTTTAAACATTAATGACACGGCTGATTGGCTAAAGAATCATCCTGGATACCATTGTGATAGTGAAGATATTTCGCACGAGTCAAAATGCATTCTTTGTATGCCAATTGTCGATGGTCAAAGACGGGTTATTGGGGTTTTGGTCTATGTGCATGCAAATGGAGCACAATTTACAAATTCTGAAATTTCTATATTTGAAGCATTTGCGATTTTCTGTGGTCTGGGAATTCACAATACGACCATGTATGAAAGGTAAGATTCAACTTTATGAATTCTTGTGGGAAAATGTGAAAAATCTTTTATTAAACAAACTTTCTCTCTCTCTCTCTCATCCCAACAGTGCATGCAAACTAATGGCAAAGCAGAAAGTTGCACTCGAATGTTTATCTTATCATGCAACAGCCAGTCAAGACCAAACTGTGAAACTTACAAGCGAGCAAATTAAAAGTGCAGAGGAATATAAACTTTATAGTTTTAAGTTCATTGGTGAGTTTTATGATGTGCAAAATAATTCAATTGATAGTGAAAATAATTTTTTCGCTCTAAATTGGAAGCACAATGAACCATGCAAAGTTTGAATTACAGAAAATTTTGTATAAAAAACTTTTCCATGTCATTTTCATATTTAAGCAGGGATGACATTTGACTTTTTAAAGTTAAGTAATTGACAATCTAATTGAAAGTTGTTGCTTTTGAATTTGATTATCTTTTAAAGTGACACTTGAAATTGAGTGTCAAACTTACGCAAGCTACATTAAATATTTAACAGTAACAATAACGACCAATGAGAATTAAAGCACATTTTTTAAAGCTTCGTCATAAAAGATTCAATGAAAAGTTTTGAACTTTATTTGAAATAAATTTATTAATGAATTCAAATTGAAAGTTAAATAAACAATGATTTGTTGCAACCTTCAATTTGATTCCAAATTAGATTTATTTCAGTTAAAGTTTATTTGCTTCAAGAAGAAGACGATGATGTTGATGATGATGATGACGATGAAGTTTCATCATGCGGTTGAAAGAATTGAATATTCAAAGAATCATTTCACTTGTCTACTTGGAAAATAAACTGTTGGTTTTGCGCTCTACCGAACATCTAAGTTAAACAGAGTTTCACAAAACTTTATCTAAATAAGTTAAGATTTTATAAGTTAGAAGAGTTCATGTTAAGTTGTTCATACATATTGTGGAAAGTTTTTGACGTTCGTTGTTCATATTAACCCAAAAGTCAAATGAAAATTGGTTTGATTCTATGTGAAGTGTCAAAAACTTTCATTTAAGGTTTTGAATCCATTTTAATACCGACATTCACATAAACATACCTTTTCCATCTATTCCTCAATAAAAGCTTCCAACTAACGACTAAGTAACGCAAATTGAATACAAATGTTTTTTCATATTGTTCTCTTTTTATTTCTTTTCTTTTTTCTCCTTCTTTTCTGCTTTATCCTAATTTTATCTCATGCCAGATTTCGAACTGGAGGAAGAGGAAACGTGTCGAGCAACGATAAGAATGTTTGTCGACTTCAATTTGACATCACAATTTCACATTCCGTATGATGTAAGTACCACAAATAAGAACACATGTTGGGCTGGCTGCTGATTTTTCCCGATAGTTATTAAGTATTATCGCAATGCCACCCGTCGATTTCAATTAACGAAATACAAATTATCAACATGTTAATTTCTCTTATTTATGTTTTGCTTATTTAGGTTCTCTGTCGATGGATATTGAGTGTTAAGAAAAATTATCGTCCAGTTAAATACCATAATTGGCGGCATGCATTGAACGTTGCTCAAACGATGTTTGCTATGGTAAATTACTTGTTTAACATGACAATCTCATTTCTGACAGTTTCTGCACTCAGAGAAAAAATATGTTAGCCTCAAGAACACATTTCAAGCTGTAACGGCGTGGGTTTGGTGTATGCTTAAACCAATATGGGATAATGTCATGTTATTGGTAATAAATGCAGCATAGACGTGCATAGCGTGAAATGCGTCTGACTATCACATCTTTTTTCTGAGTGTAGGGTTGTTTTATACAAACACAAACCATACCAATAACAACAACGATAATAAAAAAATGATCATTTGTGTTGTCGTCTGGTGATTTCAGATGAAAACCGGAAAAATGGAAAGATTCATGCAAGATTTGGAGATACTGGGACTTCTAGTGGCTTGTGTAAGACCGATGAATGCCAAATTAACTGTCATCATCATTTATCTTCCATTTCGTCTCTTGATTAATTACATAGCTCTGTCATGATCTCGACCATCGAGGAACCAACAATGCATTTCAATTAAAAACTGACAGCCCCTTGGCAATTCTCTATACAACAAGCACAATGGAACATCATCATTTTGACCAATGTGTAATGATTCTCAATTCGGAAGGAAATAACATTTTTCAGGTGAATGTTAACAGCACATTTCAGTTTCTTTTTTTATTCGTGTGAAAAATATTTTTGAAAGCTGATTGGATGTGACAGACTAACAGAAACTAGAAAAATTTTCATATCTTCTGGCTTTGTCTCTTGTGGGATGATAAAACCACCGTCATCATCATCATCAACATTATACCAAATTTATTATTCCCCAAGTAAAAAGCTTGAATCATGTTAATAATAACAGTCACTCCACCACTTCATATTCCCGTTTCATTGTTCTTATTTCTCCATTTTATTTCTCTTGTTTTTGAAAAATGAAAAATGAATATATATTGATGTTTCTATATTTAGGCTTTGTCGCCTGAGGATTATCGCTATGTAATGAATGTCGTTGAGAGCGCCATTCTTTCCACCGATCTGGCAATGTATTTCAAAAAACGTGATAAATTTCTCGAGCTGATAGATAATGGCGAATTTGATTGGCAGAGTGATGAAAAAAAAGAACGTAAGTTAAGCTTTTGTTATTAAAGCTGAATTAAAAATTCATTTTCACTTTTCATTCTGGCATTTTTGTTTTATAAATGTTTTCTTTTCCCTCGCGTCTATTCAGTCTTGTGCGGGATGATGATGACAGCTTGTGATGTAAGTTTATCATTTTCATAATGTCTAGCAATCAGTTTTATTTAATGAAAAACTTAAAATTGGATTATGAAGGTAAGCGCGATTGCGAAACCTTGGGAGGTTCAACACAGCATAGCGAAGCTTGTTGCTGATGAATTTTTCGATCAAGGAGATTTGGAAAAGCTTCAATTGAATACAAAACCGATTGCGATGATGGATCGTGAGAGGAAAGACGAGCTGCCGAAAATGCAAGTTGGATTTATTGATGTGATATGTATGCCGCTTTATAAAGTGTTATCTGAAACATTCCCATGGATATCGCCATTATATGAGGGAACTGTTGAAAACCGAAAACATTGGCAGGATTTAGCAGAGAAGGTCGAAATGGGATTAACTTGGATCGATCATGACACAATTGACCAACCAATAGAAGAATTGGCTGGTAAATGTCAATCAATTTATCAAGAGTATTTGAGTTGATTTGACTTTAGTTGTTCTAGTTATTATTGTTATTATTTGATTTGCTTTTAACTTGAATGTTTATCCTTGTATCGCTAAATCTTTTCCCTTCCAGCAAATGCAATCGACCGTGGCGATATCGAATTTACTGTCTGTGAACTGAATTGTCATAACGCTCAACAAGATGATCAAGGATCTCCTGTGCATGAGCGGAAACCTCGCTTCAGTAGCTTTAAAAAAAGTGGTGCTTTATCCAAAGCTGTACGAAGTAAGCTCAACTTAACAAAATCTTCGACACAGTCATCTGAAAAGCAAAATAGTTGTGGTGAAAGTAGTTCATTTGATCAAGAGAAAGGTGGCGATAGTAATGAGAATGGATCATCTAAAGAGTTTAATGAACCATCCACATCAAGCTCAACAACTTCAAAACCACCCCCTCCAAATAAGGTCACAAAGAAGAAATCAAAGCTTTGCCTTCTTTTATGACCAAAGCAATACAGTGAAGACCATGTCTAGGACAAGTGAAAAAGCAGTCTTCACTGTTACTTTAAATGTGTTGTGAAAATATGATAGATAATCAAGACCGATGCGTTTACATACTCACATAATGACTCGTGTCAGATTCCTTTTAATAAACTGATAACTGACATGACGAATGACTAACATTTTTTTCTGTTAGAGAATCGTTACTTACATAAATGAACACACAAAAACTGCTTACACAAACACTGGCTTTATTAATCAGTAATTAATTTATTTCTTGTTAGAGTCTTTAAAAACTTTTAAACTTTTGCATAGAATTTTAATAAACTTAGAATCAAATTTAAAGAGATACTGTCTAGGTGCACATCATTAAAGTGATATTTGTTGAAAATGAAGTTTAGTTATTTATTAGAATATCTATTAAGAGTTAATTTCTTTTAACAGTTTACATTATAAATTTTCAAAAGAAAGCAATCTCTTAAGAAAACGAAGATATCGTTTCGTTCCTATTACTTATTATCGTATTTACAAATATACTGAATAGAATTCTCTCTTCTCCATTTACTTACCTATTTAAAGATATTTCAAGATATTCGTTGACAATGTAGATCCATGCAAGAATCCTTTAGAAAATCTTTGGAATTTTCAATCGTAGCGTTGTAGAAATGGATAATAAGAATAAATAATCTTTATTCAGTGGAAATATTTCTGCATCATCATGCTAAACAAATTTTGTTGTGAAGGTGGTTGAGAAAATTAGCTGCATAAATATATTTACCTAGTAGATTGAACAAGCATCGTAGAAAATAAGAATAGATGAGATACATATAAAATGAAAGTTGATTAATTAAACAGCTTTTGCTGAGCGAGCTATTGCGAATGTTTTATAGAACGATTAAGAAATGATAAATTGCTAAGCAAGGAGTCGAGTGAAAATTTTAAACTGTTTAAATATGTAAGACAATTAAAAACACAATGAATTAACATTTGTAAAAGGAAAACAAAATAATTGAAATCTTAAATTAAATATGTATTAAGAAGCATAATTGTGAAAATGGAAATTTTCTAGAAAGCCGTCTTATGAGTTTTTGGAAGAAAATCAAAATTATTTTAATGTTGTTTTGATATTGCAGTCTTGACAATGACAAAAAAAAAGATGGAAGAAGTTTTAAATTAAAACACGTCCTACCATTGATATTAACGACGAATGTAGTTGGAATCACAAAACTTTGCACCGTAAAGGCTGCCTTACTTTCTCAATTTTAACTCAGTTTTATTAACGTCTAAATGTGCATTTGATATTCATAGAATTTCTTCTTATTCTTTCTTGATAATATCCAAACCTGCTGTAAAATGTGAAACAATAAAAAAAAGTTGCTGATCAAAATACGTTCGAACAAGCACATCAAATTATTTATTGTATGTAGATACATGAATGTTGCTTGTTCGAGTTTATACAATCACAACTCCCATTCCAAAGTTTGTAAAGCTTCATTTATTTCAAAAGCTTTTTCAATCACAACAGAGAATTTTACTACCTCTTTATGTTTCATTCCTTTCAATGTTACACAATTCAATTGAGTGAAGATTTCATTGTCAGCAAGTGTTATTGTGTTGCATGGCAAACAATGATGAGAATTAAAAATTTAATAAAATGACTAAATACAAAAAGAACGTCTTTTAATGGTTTGGAACTAATTAATTAAATTTTTTATTCAGGGTAAATTTCAGTTTTTCATCAAACTTAAGTAATAAAAGATGATCTATTTTTAAAAAGAATGTTATTAAACTTCTTTGAAAAGTGACTTAACCAGCCAGACATTTATGTAAAATAATATTCAAGGAAACAATGACGATACTCACGTAAATCTAAAAATCTTTCATTAATATATTTGACATAAAAAAATTAAATTATCACTAGCGTAATTCAAACAAAGATAGAAATATCAACTGAGACAAAAGAACATAAATTAATTAGGAATTTCGTCCTAAACTAAAGTTGACATGAAAAGCTTCTTCTAATTAGAAATTTGATATTTTCATAATTTTGCTTAGATATCAAATTATCAAAGAGAAAATTGCCATATCAACTTTAATTCTCCTTTTTTTGGAAGTGTTTTGTTGAATGTCTTGAATATTTCTTGCTTCGTCATGAATATAATTATTTTTTGTTTTGTTTTGATATCAAATCTTATCACTTGTCAATCATCATCTGTGTGTATGTTGCGTAGGTGAACAGATACTTCCTTTGTTACGACAAACGACAAATAAAATTAAGAATAAACATATTTTTACATAAAAAACTCTTCAGTTGAATGTGAAAATGGTCAAGTACGGTTAAGAGGTCGATCAATGGAAATTTCAATAACTCGTAGACCTCTAAGTACTGGATCTGTGATGTTTAATCCAGCTGGGTTGTAAACTAGTTCATTTTGCATAGCAATGTAAGCCGATACTTTTCGAAGACACTACAATCAACAAATATTAATTATTCTTCTATTTTGTGATATGTTGAAACTTTACCTTCTCATAGTGTGTCTCAGTGAATAAATAAATTAAATAAGCAGAAAAACATGCACAAAATCCTTCACAGAAAGTACTGCAATTTCCTTTCTCAGCTTCGATGAAATACTCATTTACTTTTTTTATAGTCCGTTCAAATGATACGCGATCGATTCTTGATTCAAGCTCGGTTGGAAATCGTGTTTGAAATTGAACGGAAGTTCCTATTGTAAAATTTTTCATAAATCATTAGAAATTCACTTAATGAATTAACTTTCTACCTTCTGTGTAATCTCTTTGAATGAAAACTTTCATGTAGTTTGGCTGTAGCGGAGTTTGGGTCATTTTAATATTCTTAAATTAACTAAAATGCTTCTTAAATAGTTTTATTAATGATTTTAATCAAGAAATGGGGGCGCCTTGAGAGAATTTCACTGGATGGATATGAGTCGGCGCCATTTGGACAACAACACAACACTGAGTACTAGACTTGTTATAATTTGTAATAGAATAAAATTGAATAATTTTAATCCGTTAAATGTTCTAAACATGAACAAATAAAAAATTGCATAATTTTCCTGGCATCATTTTCTACATGAATGGTTAGGAAAAGATAAATATTTAAAAAGAATTTAATAACTAAAGCAATTATAATTACAATAGCAACCTTCATATTCATGTACACAACATTTCAATTCTTGAAATTCCCAAGTTTTCTATACACAACATCTTGAGTAGTCTGATTTAGACAACTTGTTACATGTAGGCTTAAATTTTATGAAATGTCAAGATAACACTTAAAATTATGTTCGTTTATTTATTCTCTAGCACTTCTCGTATAGGGCAATAGTATCTTGAATAACGTTTTGAATGAACCCAATATCTAATCTTAAAATCAAAACAAACAAAAAATATTATGCCTGTTATTTTCAATTAAGCTTTGGTTTTTTGAAGAGCATACGTTTATCGCAACATTTATTTAACAAAATATTTTCCTTAGCTGTTGCACTCGGTTGATCAAATGCGCAGGATCAAGCAGAAAAGAAAAGTTGAGAATGAAAAGTATCATTTCATTGAAAATAAATTTCAGTTTTCGTGTATACGTTGACTGAAGAAGTCTGATCAGAATATCTATAAAATCATAAATTTAACGTTTACAGAGTTTTAGTAGGTGTTAAGTTTTTAGTGATTGATTCAAAATGCAAAGTTGTTTTACAGTGTGAAAAAGGAGATTTCGGATTTATTTAATTACAACAAGTAGCCAACATCGATCCTTCAAAGATTTCATAGATTTTAACGTAAATTTGTAATCAAAAACTTTGATTGAGTTTCAATTAATGCTTGTTTAAATTAATTTCCTTTTGGTTGCACACACTCAATATCCGGTGGAAATTGATCCGTTTTTGTTTTTAATTGAAGTATCAAGTTTAAGAAGCTTATACCTGAAATAAATTTCAAAAGAAATAACATAAATGTTATCATACGAAAAAGCTCTTTTTAAAAATCATATCAACAATCGTGAAGCACAAAGTATCTGCTTTCGCGATGTAAATTCGCGGGTTGTTTGATAAACATAAAAGCGCGAAAAAGCAGAAAAAAGGTTGTTGGAGGATTACCTAATTGTTTTTATGTTTAGCAGTAAACATTACATTTATTTTTCAACGTTTTTGTTTCACACAAACTTTTAAAATTTTTATCGATGCGAGGAAGTATTTGCGGTTTAGAACTCCTCCAAGTACCTTTGCTTTCAATTTAATACACATTTCGTGAACCTTACAGAATCACGTTCGCTTTTTGCTTTTAAATGTTATTTTAATGACGAGCTTTAAGCATCTTATTCATGATTCTGATGTTGACATCATGATTTTGATACTTATTTCCTTTTGATGCTTGGAATTCAAATTTGAATTACCATCTGTATTGCATAAAATATCGTAATAAATATTCTTAAGCAATTAAGAATTTCATTTTGCGACAATAAATCACCAGCAGCGAGTCATCTCGACTTTGATGTTATTGGCGACTTCGTAATATGTTATTGGTTGTGATATATAAAATATAATGATAGTGTCAGTTATTGTAATTAATTATTCTTAATGCGTTGTTAAACCAACAAACTAATAGCCTAATCTCAAGGATAATCAGGTCATCAGTCAAAAAACTGAACTGATAAGATAAGAAAAAATATTGCAGAAAATTATTACTGAGTGCGAGTTTTTCAGCGAAATTTTTCAAAAAATAAACAAATGAAATAAAGTTGAGTGTTGATGCGAGATCCCAGATGCACATAAATAAAGTTTTTCTTCTTTTTAAAAAAATATAAAAGTTATCGCCTCATACGAATGTGATTTATCATAAATTTTTACTTTTTCATTTACGATTATTAGTATATGAAAATGTGTATTAAATAATAAGTGGAACATTAAAGTTTTCAGGTGTCGATCTAATAAATAATTGGTCGCAGTTATTTGTTTCTAATGAAATGTGACAAAATATTGTGTGGAATTTAAGCTTTAAAGATTGCGACAGGTCAAACAGTATTAATACAATATGGTGGATACATTGATTTTTCACAATAACACTAACTTTACGATTGGAATTTATGGAAATCAGAGTGGCGAAGGAACTGATTTGATCAATCAGTTCTTAGATAACCGAAAAATTGATGAGCCGTTCTATAGTGTGCTGATTGCTTTTTATAGCTTTTTGATTATTTTTGGATCAACAGGAAACATTCTTGTAGTCTTGGCTGTGCTCAGGAATAAACAAATGCAAACGGCAAGGCAAGTGAATAACCAGTTCAATGCTAAAATGTTAATTAACTAGATGTAAACAGGAAGTGGAACAAAATTTAACTCCATTGGAAACTTTTTCACTGTTCATTTGAACATCTTCTTTAAAGGAAGAATAAAATTCAACATGAGAAAATATAATGACATAGAAATTGTTAAACTTTATGTTGAGTTTAAACAGACCTTCAAGCATGCAAACTTTTTCATCTTCCTTCACATAACTTTTTTTGACATAATATTATAAGAAACAAGATTGAGAAATGTAAAAAAGGTGGAAAGTATAAGAAAAAGTGCCTTATTAGCTTGTTCAATATTTATTGAGAATGAACAGGTGCTTTAAACGGCAAATTGAAAAGCTTTCAGAAAAATTTCTCTTCCGTGTCTGGGCAACATTCCATGAAGATATTCCCTTATCTTGATGTCTCATAAAAACATTATTTCATAGAATGATATCAAATTTTTTTGGTGAATGGTTAATTTCATTGCTCGTTATTTTTATTTTTTTGCAGAAACATTTTTATTGTCAACTTGGCTATATCAGGTAAAAAAAATGTTAAATATTTTTTTTCTAAGAAATTTTTACGTCTTAATGTCAAGGAATTATATTTTGTTTATATTATTTGGTTTCATTTTTCAAGCATTTGGATTCTTTAATAATTCAAATGAGAATTTTGAGATGAAATTGACATTAAATTCTTTGACAAGCATCACAAAATAATTAGATGCTGAGAATGATTGATTGGAAGGAAATTGATTAAATTTTCTCTTATTATTCCATAACAGATTTGTTGTTGTGTCTAGTAACAATGCCTTTAACGCTGATTGAAATTCTCTCAAAGTACTGGCCCTTAGGTAACACATGGAGTATTATATTTTCACGATTTTACGATTTTTTATTGGCTTATTTACTTGTGAATGATCTCATGAGGATATATTCATGAATACTTTAAGATTCTTACGTAATATTTTCATCTTTAATATTGAATGGCTGCTCACAAAAATGTCATGTTAAAGTGTTTTGTAATAACAATAATTCATAATTTTCCATTTTATGAATGAATAAAACTTTTAAGAAGTTTACGTAGAATTTTTTTCCAAGAGTTTTCTTTTATAAATTATGCTAACTTATCGTGACATCATTCATGAAGTTTTCCCATTTCCACACAGTTTGTAAATCAGCTCTTTCTTTCGTTTTCAGGCGACAGCGCTTTGCTTTGTAAAATGATTGGAGCTTTGCAAGGAACAAGCATTTTCGTAAGACTTTTAACTTTTCTTATTTTTATTTAAATGAACCTGATATTGTTGTTTCTATTCACTTACAAAGGTATCGACTATCTCAATCACTGCGATCGCACTTGACAGATATCAGGTAAAGATGCTTAGTTACCTTCTCAAGTCAGATCCAAATAAAAATCTTTTTCCTTTTTTAAACTTTGTCAAAGGTCATTGTGGGCTGCCCAGCAAAAGATAATTTGAAAATGCTTGGTGCTGTTCTTATTCTAACATTGATTTGGTTTATAGCTCTCATGTGTGCTGCACCATTGTTCATCTATCGAAGTCTCATTCATTACAACATAAATATTGCCAGCATGGATTTTCAACATAAAATTTCATACTGTGATGAAGAGTGGCCACAACTTCCCTTTTTTGATGGACGCGTCTATTACAGCATCTTCTCTCTAGCGCTCCAATACTTAATTCCTATCCTTGTCGTGACGTCTTCGTATTTGAAAATATATTTTCGATTGAAAAAACGTTTTGTTATAACTCAAAATGCTCCTGCGGTTGGCGAAAGAATTCAGAATCGGCGGGGGCGACGAATGAAGCGGACAAATTGTCTGCTAATTAGTATTGCTTTAATTTTCGGAATATCGTGGTTGCCTTTGAACTTCTTCAATCTCTACGCAGATCTAACAGGCATGAAGTCGACACAAAATGTGTACATTATTTATGCCGCGTGCCACATGGCTGGAATGAGTTCAGGTAGCTTTTTCATTTATCATTCTGCTTATTTTTCTTTATTAATTATTAAATTTCATTGCGTCAAAGCATGTTCAAATCCCTTGTTATATGGATGGCTCAATGATAACTTTAAAAAAGAATTCAACGAAATAATTTGCTGCAAGAAGCTTGGGAGTGAATCAAGGTTTAATTTAAAAGCTATTGATGCTGGATTTGTAACCAAACAACGACGGGCGTATACAGAAGTAACTGACATCGATAAGCAAAGTAAATTACTGTCAAAGCCACAGGATAATCAGATACTGCCAGAATTAAAGCCTGAATTCACGGTGTAAGTGTTCAGTAAAGGAATTAAAAAAGATTATAACAAAAATGACAAAATTTTAATGGCGAAGAAGAATAAATTCACGAGAAAGTATCGAACTTAAATCAACAATTTCATTATTATTTCAAAGCTCTTTGAGTTTTGTCGAAAACCATTTCAATTTTGATAGAAACAACTTAATTAAATTTTATTATTTGCCAGACGAATTCATCTTTTGATGCTTTCTTCCTTGATGTTGTTGTATTATGTCAAGAAAATAAAATAAACTTGAGAATGTTTTCATGAACATTTCATGAAAAGCAACGAATAAAATTTTGAATAAAACCTATGTTTGATATCCTTCCAGAACATCAACCATTTGAGACTGGCGTTTAAATAATTGTTTGACGAATAGCTAAAGACGAAACAGGAAAACAACAAATTGTGGAATTAAAAGGAAATGAAAAAGAAGTAAAGATAACAAATTGTTTACATATTTTCTTTTGTGATACATGTTATGAGTTGATTCCAGGAATAATTATTCACTTTCATAATGAAACATAACTTTGCTTCTTCAAATGAAAACTTTTCAGTTGCAAGTTATTCATAAAATCATCTTTCATCTTTGATTATTCTCAATATTTTTGCATAAACTGTTCATTGTATGTGACATGTAAAATAAAACAAATTGTCAAATAATAAAAAAGAAGAAGTAAAGGATATTATTTCTCGGTATTCTTTTATTTGAGTGTAATGATTTTTCAATAGGAAATGCTTAGCGAGATGTCTTTATAATATCAATAAAGAAGATATGAACGCATCAAAAGAAAAGCCAATTGAAAATGTTATGAAAGAATTCCACCTAACTTCTCAAATTGAATATCTTTTTCGTATGAAAATAAAATTATTCTGACAATGACACTTCCCACACACATTCCGATTTATCTGTCAATAATACTTACGATATGAATCTATTGATTCGATCAACATAAATCATAAAAAGGTGATGAAACCAGAACAATAAATTTACGAAATAATTCGTGTTAAAGTTTACTTACTCACAATGATTTCCCTTTAAGATAATTTCTTTTAGTTTACCTTAAATGGAAAAACTTTCTTTCTTTAAACTTTACTATTGAAATAAGATATCTAAATAATGACATAACAGACATCTACATAATAGAGATATAATCTCAAAGAAAGAATGATCTTTTCAGCATTCAAATCTGTTTTTCTTTTTAAACGGCGGGAAAACAATCAACAACATGCTCAGCTTCATATTTCAATGTCAATTTATGCTGAATGTATTCTTTAAACTTTCAGTTTGCGGAAGTAAGTAATTTATAACGCGCTGTTATTGTTGAAAAACTCGATTTGTACTCACCGCTTCTCTCACTCATCCAAATATATGCGCCCAAACTTTCTTTGCTTTAAATAAAACTCGCATCAAGATCAAAAAAGCAATTTATAACATTACTTGTTTGTCTTGTTTGGCAATTTGCGTAGCAAGTGATTTTTGTGTCCGGTACGTTTATTACCGGCTTTTATTCCATTCACATTTTATATGTTCGCAATTCAAGCTATCAACTGCCATTTGACGTTTTCTTACTCATATATCTTTCACTCTTTACACTAATATCAACTAAAAGCAGTTAAAGAGAGCGTAGACTCCATGGTCGTCAGCAACTTTCTTTCAAGGTTAGTGTGTTAGTAAGATTTTTCATTTCTTCTCGAAGAAATTCTTCGCTGTTGTGTTTTTTATTTCTTTTTCTTTCTTTCTTTTTTCGAGACTATCGACTCAAAGCAAAAGAGTTTGAATCAAAAAAGTCTTCAGTTTTGAGCAACGTAGATGTACAAACGCGTTAACAGCAGAGTAAATAAAATATTTGGGAAGGAAAAAAGTTCGCCTACATCATAAGAATCTTCAATATTTAACAAGCAATAAAAGTGAAAGAAAATTTACAAATTCTCAAAGCAAATTTCTTAATTAAATTCACAACTTTTACGCAAAGAAACGTTTAGTGAAAAAAAGAAATATTTTCATGAAGTGAAACCAGGCAATTTATATTGATTAATAAGAAGGTAAGTCGGTGAAGAAAAGACGAAACGAAATCAAATCGGAAATTGATAATTTTGAGGTCACAGTGACAATGAGTTTGTCAAACGTTTGTTCAATATTTGGATGAATCCATGAATAAATTATGAGTGAAATCAATCAACACCAACTGTTTCTACTTACTTACTCTGTAATCAGCTCCAATTTTTCTTTGGTTTAGCTTTTCAGCAAAGCAAAAACTAAGTGAATAAATAATTTGAGATAATGATCATGAACTGAACAGCCCAATTTGCTTCTTTAGTAGGTTTCGATGTTGATGCCCTGTACAGGTTGATTTCGTGTCAGTTTTCTCTTTCATACCAACGATGAAATAAAGACGACTTATGAAGAGCGGTCAATCTTGGGTGTTAAGTGTATAATGGAAAATAAAAAAATAAAAAAATAAAAGATTGAAGAAAGCGCGATGATTCAAGCTTGTAACAGTAACAATAAAAAAGATCTCTTTGAAAGTATGAGCACATTTTAATGACAATGTTATATTATGGATAAAAACAACCTACTCTCGCCAATGCTTACGAATTGATAAAACATATTTATTTGGGTCATAAGACCTCGTCTCTCTCCGGTTGTGATGCTGTGTCTTTGTTTTTGGAAAGTTGTTTGCACGGAAAATGAGAGAACGGATGAAATAAAAAGCTTAAGAGGGGAATACCAGATATTAATGAAATTCTTTTCTTTTTTACTTTCGATGACGAGAAATATTCACGGAAAATTTCTCAAGAAGTGAAGATTCTCAACGACATGTTGACTTGAAAATGAAAGTCGTCTAGATCATGTGAATCAATGCGAATAAAAACAACGACGACGACGATGTCTCAACAAGAAATTAGAAGAGTATACATATCAGGCTTTGATTATGTTATTAAATTTAATTCGAATGTTTCAAACGATTTCAAACGGAAAAAAGCTTTTTTCATGTTTACTGTTACAAATTCGAGTAAATCAGAAAGCGGTTAACGCAAGCTTATTAATTTTGTTTATGAAAAACATAACGGCTTGCTAATATCGTATTAAAAACACGGTTATTAAGTGAAGATTCTTTGTGAATAAGTCGACTTAGTGCAGTCAGATTAAACTTTTCTTTATATAGACAAACGTTTTAATCGTTCAAATCACATTTAGTAAGGAAATAAACAAGTCAACAAGCAATTTTCATTTTCTATCTTATCTGATCAATCAGTTCCAGAAGTGCTTTTCTAAATCGAGAGTTTAATTTAGGTAAATAAAGTTTTATCAAGTATCAAATGCTGAGAAAAAAGAAAATTTAGTAATTTGAGTGAGCAGGAAAGTATTGACAATTATCCATTATAAATATTTTCATCAGCAAAAATTGTTTCCATAACAACTTTTCACGTTCAGCTTTTAATATCGTTTAAATTTATTTTTATTTATCTAATTAATTTGACGAGAATTTCTTGTTCGCAACTAGAAATAAATAGGAAAGAACAAACAAAAATAGATGCTAATGAATTGACACAACAATCGTTTTCCGCTCTTCTTAATGAAGAGCATTTAAAAGTTTATTTACTTCAAATTGAATAATTATCGATAAATAAATGAATTTGCGATAACCAGCTTTTAAGTGAGTAGGTAATAAGAGTTTTTCAATATTCTATTCATTTCAATTTTATTAAATCTTTCAAGTATCTGAAAAACTTCCAAATATTCTGAGATCACCACTTAAGTATCAAAGTATTTGATTGCCTAGAGAGAAGTGAAGAGACAAGTTCAATCTTTTCCAACTTAAAATTTCATTCTCAAGGGTATAAAAATGCTTTTATGATACTTATAAAGATGGAAATATTCATAAATCACTCAATATCAATGACAAGAGTCAGGAAATGTGAAGCATTTTGACGAAAGTAAATATTTGAAATCGATTGGAATGGAATGTGATTTGAAGAAAATCTCGACTATCTCTGTGAAAACCTAAATTTCGCTTTCATAACGAAAATAAATTTCTTTGTTAAGTACTAATGTGTGATAACATAGATAACTTGTCATATTAAACAGCAAACAATCTGACATAATCTACGCTTATCAATATTGCTTACACAAACAATTCCTTATCGTTATTTTTGCGTTTGAATAAGTTCAATGATATTAATCTTTTTATCTCTTCCATTACAGATTTTCAACATGTGAAAACGCTAAAAGCATAGTATGAAATGTAAAAGCCTTTTATTTTTCTTTTCGCTAATTAACTCTACTTTCATCTAATGTTACAATTTGTCATCGTCACAATCAATTAGCATGCTTTTTGTTATCATACAAAAATCTTCCTACTCGTCATACAACACAACAAAAATGGAAAGTAACTTCAGAACACTTCTTGTGCTTCTCTCATTAGTAGCTCTCGGAAGCTGCGAGCTTAAAAAGATGGAAGAAAATTCAATTTCATTCGACAGTTCACTTCCTCCACAAATAAGAAATCTGAATTTATTGAAAAAACAGACAGATGGAATTAAAAGTCCTAAAAATAAAGAAACATTTTCAAATGACGTTGAGGAATTCGAAAACGTTCTACTTGAATATGCTGGAGATATTCTTAACCGAAAAAATATTACTATTATGCCAGGCGTGTATATCGAGAAGATATCAGCAAATATAACAAATGATAAAATTGAAAAGAAATCATTTGAAGAGAATTTAATTTCATCTGTTAAGGATTACACAAGCACACACACTTTAAGGATTGATATGGCACGAGCTTTGTCAGATACTGGGCGATTATTTTTTTTCAAAGGCAAGTAAATAACCATTTGAAGTATCCTCATGTTTCCATAAAATAATCGATATCGTTAAGTGATTCAGTTAGAATTTTAAGCATTCCTTACAAATAGAAATTTTTTGCTCGAGTTATTTTAAAAAAAACGCTTCTTTTATTTATTTAGGATTGAAAAAGTTCATGTGGCCATTATTCATTGGAATGCAAGTTGTAAAAACAGTTCTTCTTGTACTCTTCCTTCCCAGTATAATTGGATCCGTTGGAAGGATTGTTGGCAAAGGTTTGCCATCCCTTTCGGGAACATTCTCACAATTTTCGCAGCAAAACGCAAATATTGAAACGATTGATGATTTAGAGTTCAAAGACAACTCCATGAATAGTGATCACGAAGCGGAAGGAACAATAAATTCTGCCTATCAATACAACATTCCAAGTAAGTGAAAGTTTGCTTGTCATTTATGTATGTTTGTAGATTTTAAATGTTTCTAATTTCATCACCTTTTTCGATCTTTGTCACAGATTCAAAAAATAACAATTTTGTATCGCAAATGTATGATGCCGCTCAAACAAATAATGCTTTGTCACAGCTTGGAATGGACCGTGTAATGAATGTTGATAATATCAACAAAAACAACGGTTTCCTGTCAAAACGTGATGACTTCAAAGTCTTCCATGATATTCCATCATCATCACTTCTTTTGACAAATTATGATCCATTCTACAGTCCCCTTTTATCAAGACTTGATGCCGTCTTCCAACAACTTGGTCTTGATTCTGGGAAGGATGAGAGCTGTCGAGAAAAGTTGGTTTGCTTGATGTACTCAAATCCTGCAAAATATGCGCCCTACTCAAATTTAGTGTCAGCGCAGTTAAGCCGGTAATTGAAATTGGAATAAATTTGCTGTACTCATTTAATTGGCTTACGAATACCTTATCACTTCATGTGGATTTAGGACATCTATAGATGAATAATTCAACACGAACCGTGTCGAGTTGATACTTTTTCTTGTCCCTCTCTCACTCTCTTTCTGTATTTTATTTTGTTTTGAGAAAACGAAGAGATAATTCGATTTTTTTCATCCCACTTATAGCGAACTAAACGAGCTGAGAAAACCGACATCCGATAACCCAGATATTTTACGATTCTTCCGATACATGCGATCCGCAAAGGATGGCCAAGACGGCATCGATTGTAAGATTACTCGATTGAAGATTTCGAAGAATTTGGAGAATTTGGAGATTATTTTAATGATGTTTCTTTCTTATTCTTTTATTTCAGGTGAAATTGCTTATAAGGATTGTTTGACGTTCAATGACATGAGTGGACCGGCTATGATAAATACATTTAATGAAATAAATAAGCTTGTTCAAGCCAGAAAGCTTTAAAAATTTATTTTATTAATGTTGTTGTTTGCTGTTTATATTAAACCACGGGATCCTTAAGTCATCATAATACCTCGAGCTTGTAAATTTGTTATATACTTATTAATAAAAAAAATCATTAACAACTCATGGCTGCAAAAATTGAAATATTCCGAAGATGGGATCCCTCTTGGAGTTAATATCAACACGGGATTGCTAATACAAAAAGTCATTTAGGTAAATAAAATCATAAAATCAATAGCAGAAATTTCTTATTCATCACTTTGCATTTAGCAACGATTCATTCATTTTAAAATAATGGATTTAGTTGATAATTCTTTTTTGATTTCAAAAGTAACTTTTGACTTAAGCCGCATTATTAATTTACGTCTCTGATGACGTGAAATGATTTTGATTAAAGCTGTAAAAGATTTTTGAACCTTAAGATTAATGAAAAGTTGTTGAAGATTTCATTAAACATGTTTTTGATTAATATTTAAGGCATATTTATGTAGTTCAACATTATTTATTTTATTAATAATTAGCATTTAAGGTGATGAAAAATGTCAATAATCAACATGTATTTGCTTTCGGGGTGATGTGAATTGATCTTGCTTTAAATGAAACAACCAAGAAATTTTAATTAATATTTTATTGGCTTTCCTTTAAAGCATGATTATTTTAAATAAAAAAATATTGGAAAATTTATTAAAGTTTTAGACATTCAATTTTGAAAGCCGATTAATTTATTACTAGAAACTTCATTGTTATGCTTTTGCCTTACAGAGTTGCGATTTTAAAATATTGATGGAAGTTCCCACACATTTTATGTTGCTAAAATTCTTGAAATTTTTTAGTGCGTTAGACTTTAATATGAAAGTTTAATGCTCTACCATCAACATAAACCTTCAAGTATTAAATCAAAAAGGGTTACAATGATATAAAATTTCAAGTAGTTTGTTGCTTATGTCGTTAAACTGAAAGTTCTTCTTATCAAACCTCGATTTGCTCCACATCATTATCTTCATCATTATCACATAAAAATATTGATTTTTAAAAATAATTTATGGTTGTGTCTCGAAATTATACTTAAATACACATTTATTGACAAATTATGTGCGAAAATTACAGTAAATTGCTCTTTTCATAAATAAATATTATCAGTCTCAATCTGCGATTGCCTACCACAAGAAATATTTCAGAGTGTCGGTAATGAATGAGAAAACTCTGTTTATAAATAAAATATTAATAATTAATATCATTACTTTAATGATTAGAAGAAAATCTAATTAACTATTTAATAATGCTTACAATATTTCTTATTCAAGTGGAAATTCATCATTTTTATATCAGAAAACGTTCAATGAAAAGGAATCAGAAAGATGAAGAAGTTTTTTTAAATAGAAACCACAATCTCTCTAATAGAATTCAAAGAAATAAATAAGCCTTTTTACACATTTTCCTTTCCTTAATCTTCTCTTAATCTGTGGTTTCTATAAATCCTCCAATTTTTAAATTTAATTAGAGTTACTTGAGAAAATTCATCAAGCTAATCCATCAGCATCAAATTTATTTCGTTATCACGGATTCATTTGATTTTATTCAATAATATCATGAATCATTTCGAATGATAAAAAAGATACGAAATCGAAGTCACAGCTTTCCGTTGCAACTTATGATGTCTTCAGAAAACTTCATTTCTGATATTTACAAAGAATAATATTCAGTTTCATCCATTCACTTCACATGTCGGAAAATAAATTGGTTTTCCCTTTTTTCAGATATCGTTATAAATGTAAGTAATAATTCAACTCTATTATTCTTTTATTTCAATAAGACAATGAACATTATTTCAGCCTTAGACCTTCGCTTTCTTTTTATTTGTCGACCATTATCAAGACCAATTCCACAATTTGAGCAGTAACATATCTATAAGAATAAAACTAATATTATTATTTATAAATGGCAGCAATCGTTTGTCACAAATAGAAGAGAATCTCACATCTGAATTTAACAGTTCCAAGAAAAGAAAAATTCTTGTATCAATTACGGCTGCTGTTTAATGTGTTAATAAACCTCGATGAAAACGTGCTTTACTTATCGTCAGTTCTTCTTGTTTACTCTCTATTGCCGTCTATAAATATCTCATTCACAAAATTATTACATAAATAACAAAGTTTATTGGTACACATACGTACGGAAATAACGTTGTTAAAATAAGAAGCATATTATCTCTCATAATTTCGCCTTTCTCGCCTAAGAGATACAAACTGTTTCTGCTGAATAACCATGAATGTCAAATAGCAATATACGGATATTCTATGAATATTTTTAAGTGGAAAAAGTTTTATTCAATGTGACATATGGGAAAACTTTTTCTTCACCAAGATATCCTTTATAATCAGCATTTAAATTTTCCTGCATACATTCATAGAAAAGTTTCTGATAGAAAAATGAAAGATTTTTGTTATAAATATTTATAATGTTACGTCGGTGGTATGATAACGAACGAGCAACAATATTTTTGAAAATAAAAAAGAAAACAAATATAAAACTCACACGTCCAATGAATTGTTATGATTTCTTCACAAGCGACAAACATAAACATGGGATAATTTTTTGGACTAAGCTAATGTCATTAAATCGTAGTTATTCCGGATTTGCACAGAAAAGTTATTGCTGCAGAAGAAAGAAAAATTACAGCACAGCTTCGGGATTTTCGGATGATTCATAAACATAGTCAATGTCTTTGCACTTATTACATAATACTACATTATTAAGTTTTCTCATGTCTTAACTCTCACTTTCATTGGAGGCAATGAAAACAACAACAATTACATTACAGATTGTGTCTACGAGAATCGAGTGTGCCTTCGTAGCCGTTGAGACGTTTGGGTTTTTACATCTTGTGCAAGAAGTTTAACAGAAATAATCGTGCTACCGGCGTTTAAGTCACAGTCTTTTGCGTATAAAAACAAAATTTGATACCTCTGATCGAGTTAGTCGTGAATTGTATTCGAAGCAGTGCAAACTCAAATCTGTGAAAGTAAGATTAATCTGATTATATATAATTTTAGAACAATTTCCTTTGCAAATATTTATGTAACAAAGTGAAAAGTTAAAGTGTGGGATTTAATTATACAAACCGTGGAATGATATTGAAATACAGTTGAATTGCAGAGTGAATAGCATACGCTGAACAAGTAGAATTCTGGAGATGTTTAAGAATGGATTGAACGAAATCATTAATCTAAATAAAAGCTTTAGGAAACATTAAAAATATCACTTTGAAAGTTAGAAAAACTCTCAACTTAAAACCAGAAGCCATTGAAATACTCGTAAATTATGCAATTGTTTTCCACAATGAAAGCCCGCACATGGTAAAACATTTTCGGATGGCTAACCCATTCTTTAAGTCCCAAAACCCAAATTAATTATTCCATATCGTTTTCTGCAGTTTTTACTCGCCTTGAGGCTTCTTCGTTTAAGTAATGTTATTTATTTAGGGTTTTCATTGCAAAAGACTAAAAATAAATCGTTATGACGATTTAGCTAAGAAGATATCTGAAAAGTGTCATAAAAGGCTTCATTCAATTAATGTTGAGTTAGTGACCATTTTTATCGAATAAATCTTCTAGATGAGAGTGGATTGAAAAGAATTTCTCCAGATTTATGCTGCAAGATTTATTTCTTTTACATTTTTATGTATGTTGAGCACAAATACCAAAGTTTCAATGTGTGAGCAGAAATCGTGAATTGAATTCTTTTCTGAATCAACATTTATTTTCTGCAACAAAAAGCAAGACGCGCGCGAGAATGTAGGTAAAGCGAAAGATAACAGTTACCTACATTTCTCTTTCGTTGTGTATGCTTCTTTAATAAACATTTTTTCGCTCACCAATGTTATTCAACACATCGTCTTGAGACGATGCAAACAAATAAAAAAATAGCGGCGAGAGTCGGCAATGTAATAAACTCGGACAGTTGCCAATAAAGTTTGACAGTATAGCAAGCAAATTTTCGTGAAGTCAGCTGTAGATAACAAGCATTAAAACAGAAAGTTTTTCTTCTTACTTTTCTCATTAAACAAATCGTGATCTATTCATTTTAGATGAATTGGAATAAAAGAATACTCAACATCGTAGTCATCATCTCGTTTCTTCTTGGTGTGGAAAGTCTTAAATTTGATGACGAAGCAGCACCGAGTCAACAAACAGTAGCGAACCTTTCATCTCCGCCATCACAAATTAACGTGGAAGGTCGACAAAGTGCAAGACATTTGTTTGACTTCGTTGGACTTGGTACAGGGGAACAAGTCGATCCATTTTTAAGAAAGACTAACGAAAAGTGCCTCAACGGTGAATTAGCTGAATGCTTCAAATCACAAGCTCTAAATTCTTTTGATGAGCTCTTTAAACGAGATGTTTATGTGTGAGTTATTACCTTTCAAAAGAATAATGAATGGAACAGTATGACATCTACTTAGAAGATGTACAAGATATGAATCACGTTATCCCATTACGATTTAACGTGTAAACAATAAGGGAATTTTATTTAATGTTGAACGACATATTTCCCTTTATAGTCTCACACCACATGTTCGTGTGCTCCGAATGCCCGAAACACAGCTGCGGTCGCTTGCTCATGAGCCGTATGAATTCTCAAACGAAGCTAGACAAATATCAGAGAGTTACGAATGGAATGATTTGATACAATTTGCACTGAGAAGAGCCGAAAGATTTTTGAAGTCAAATGTTATTGAGTTGAAAATACCAGAAGAATATACCGAAGGTGGTCGTTACTCTCCAAGATTCGTTGATGAAATCTCTGATGAACTCGACGTCATTGAAGACAAACATGCTCCGTTGTTTAGTAAGTCATTGTTCAGTAAGTTTATTAGAAGAATTGTTTTTATTGCACTTAAATATGTAAATAATCTACTTGATGATAGTGACAAAAGTGCTTAAACATTCTCAAACTCTTCTAATGTGTGTCGAATAATTTGTTCTTCCTTATTTCAGCAAAACATAAAATCAAGAAGATGTTCATCCCAATGCTTATCATTTTAAAACTGTTCAAGTTGAAGGTATGAACTATTTTGGGAATCACAAATTAATGTCACAATTATTCACATCATTCTTTCTCAGCTTCTTCTTTTCTTACCTTTCATTTTGGGATTGACTGGATTGAAGAAAATCCTTGGCTTGGCTGCTTTGGTTATACCAGGTGACTAAAATATTTATTAAATCTCCTAAAAATTATCACGAAACTTCATAGAACAAGGAGAAGAAAACAAATTCCTGAAGTTCTACATGAAAATGAAGATGACAAATAACAAATTATTTAGAAAAACAACCCCAAAAGCGACCTTAAATTTTTAAAAAAAATACATATTTAGATTCATTTAGATTTTCTGTTCCAAAATTTTTAACAAGGAAAATTCTTCAAATTGTTTGTATACATTTTTCATTTTGTTTTGTGACCTTCATTCTCTCAATAAATATTTAAGTTGAAGGGACATTTTCATAGTGAATGTTCAATTTTCAGGTATTATAGGATACTTCAAATTATGTCGACCCACGTCAGGATTTAATAATCACATTTACTCTGAGGGGCACATTCCACAATATTCTTCAGCAGGATTGGGTGGCGCCAGCTACAATCCCTTGTACTCAAAGTATTCAACAAATCCTTATCGACAGGACCCAAGCTTTTCGGCACCATACAACAACTATTATAGAGACGCGTCAACCCAAAATGTCGAAGGTGGCGTCAGATTTGGTGACGACGCTCAAGATTTAGCATATAGAAACAGCAAAGTAACTGCATAAATCGATTCAAAGTTTTGTGATGAACATTTTAATTTAATTAATTGATAGTTTATTTATAAATAATAAAAGTATACATCGTTCTCAACCTTAATTAATTAAATCTCCCCTAAAGTTTAGGGAATGTTTAGTGTTTACATTCCATAAAATTCCAGGAAGAATTTTCATTAATTTCCCTCTTCATCAAAGTTGGAGGTGAGATTTTTGTTTGTCATGTTTAGTGACGCTTTTTTCAACAAGTTTTTCTTTTTTGACATAGGATGAAAGTGGTTCGCATGAAAATTAAAAACTTAATCGAACAGAAATAAAATAAAATTTTAATGTTTGCAATCATGACAGTAATAACAACAAGAGAAATTTCTAACACGAATAAACTAGAAAAATCTCTTTAATTTATGCTTCTATTTCGTAACACTTAAAAGAGTTCATTCAAGCTGATAAATAACATTAATTTAAAATTACTTCCAACCACATGTTCCCTTCAATAATCTTCAACGATTGTTTACTTCTTACCTAAATTCATGGATAATTTTAATTCAAAACATTTCTTTTTGTTTGCAATTGCTTTGAATAAGTATAATCCACATGAGAAGTATTCTAACTTAGTAATACTTTCTCAAGATTTTACTTAACTATGTAGACCAACGAGTTTCATTTTTTATTGTATTTATGCTGATAAACATGTCTGGAAGATTTTCTATTTACCTCGTGCAGAATTTCCAGTTATATGTTCATCATTTTCAGAGTTTCATGTGCACTTGCTTGGAAACAACTTCGATAAGAGGGAATTATCTACTCAGCTTCTGTTTACAGTAAATTAAAAGCTTAAATTATAGATCGGTGTTAAGAGGCTATTAGTGGCATGTTTGTTTATTTCATTGTCACTATGCAAGCTAAATTTTGTGAAAAGATCTGAAATTTTCAAATGTTTCATGAGTGTAATGAGAAATTTAATTAATGAATCATTTTCTGTGTGCATTCAAAACAAATTTTAATGAGTTTTTTCAATTCTCATACATATCTAAGATTGCTTGTCGTTTTGCTGTTACTATTGAATGCAACTGGACTAAATAATAAGAAGCACACGCTCGTTTCTTCTCTCTTCTAACATTCTATTCAACTCAATTGAAAAGAGAAGTTAAGCATATCTTTAGTATTAACCTGGATTGTAATGCTTGTTGTTAAGAAAGAAAGAAAGATATTCCTTGCTTTTCCCACAATTTAATCAAAACATGAATATAAGTCTGTGCATCATTTACCACACACTTCATTTGTCCGTAGCTATTAAAACATTGCAGTTCAGTTTTCTTTCTTTGCCAGTTGAATAAATTTAATTAAATAAAAAGTGTTAAGGATGAAAAGGTTAACGTATTGTATCTTGTTGTTTTGTGTGGCCTCAACTTTAGCTGATATTAAAACAGAATCGGTAAACTTAACAAAAAAACCTTGTTAAAGCACAAAGTTTTACAAAGTATAATGATTCGTTACTTCATAAAGTTTGTTAAAACTTTTAACAGAAAAAGAAACAAGAAATGTTTTATCTAATTGAATAAATACCTAAACTTTTTCATTATAAAGTCGTTAAAAATTTTCTCCGACTTGTTAGAACATAAAGTTATGAAAAGTTTCAAAATAGATCTTACAATTAAAATTTCAATTAAAAATTAAGGAAATTATGTTTTGGAATTGATGAATTATTAATTTCGACATTTTTGTATGCGGTTTATTAATTATGCAAAAATTTAAAATTTGTATCATAAATTGATCTTATAGAGTTGAGCATCAGAAATTGCGATGAAAACCTTGAAATGTTTACATATTTAAATGAGTTCAAACAACTTCTCGAATTCTTAAATTTTATTTCTGTGTTTGTGGGTTGAGAATTCTCACAACTAATTATGGCCCATTATTAATACTTTCGTGAGTTGAGATATTTATGAATGAGTTCATTAGAAAAATAATACTCCAATTTGAAGTTGTTCTCAAATCACTTCAATCCCATTTCAATGCTTACGCATTTGTATTTTATGATCTTTCCAAACATAATAAAAAGAAAATTTTGATTTCTCATGAAATTCATTCCTTGCTCGTTCGTGATTTTATACTATTCCAATTTTAATTTTATCCCATCAACATCATTTACAGACATCATTAACAACAAAAGCTCAATATGAGGATAAATTCCTTCAGAAATTAACAGCAAAATGTCTTTCTGATGATAACAGTTCGTGCATTATGGTCAAGCTACTCAACTATATGAACAAGATGATTAAGAAGCCTTCTTTTAGCATCAGCAAACGAATTGCATTGCTTCAAACAAGGTCAGTGTGGATTTTCTTTTCATAGATCGCTTAACATGTTTTTTTATTACATTCCGTGAGCATATTTATTACGGAACGGTCACAATTTTCTGCGAAATCAGCGCAGAATGAAAAGCAAGAAGCCCGTTAATTCTAAACTGCCTTCGTGATAATTTGTCTCAACTGGTTTAAATGATGTTTTTCTATTCTTTAACCCACTTTTGCAGCTTATCGAAAAACCAATCGGATGTGTTGTTCAACAAATTCATTCAAGCTAGAAATGCTAACGCCGATGATGCTGCTCTAACAATGCTTGTGGCTGATAAGGTTTGGACTTTTGTTAAAAGTCGTGCGTTACGCTGGAAAGTGACAGATTTTTCCGATCTTATGGTTTCGGCTGGTGATAAAGGGAAAATAAATTTGGGTTTAAGTGTCGATGCTAGAAGGGCTTTAGAAGAAGGTCGAGGAAAAATGAAGAATTCAGGTCCACTGATTGCAGCGATAATTCTTAAAGGAGCCCTTCTTGGAATATTAGCATTCAAAGCCCTTTTCTTGTTAAGCGGAAAAGCTTTGCTTGTCAGTAAATTATCACTCTTACTTGCAAGTTTAATCGGAGTGAAAAAGCTTTTGAGTGAGAAACCCAAAGTTGTTACTTATGAAATCCTCAACGACCATCATAGATACGACGCTTTTAAACCACAAGCAGCTGCTCCAGTTCCTCAAACAACACAAACGCCGGGATGGCAACGAGCTTTAGACGTAACACTTGATTCATTCATTGAAAACTTTGCCAGAAAATTCGCTTCATAAAATTTTATTTATTATAATTAGGTTGACTTTAAAGTTGTTTATTATTAGGAATAAATAAACAAGAATTCAAAGAAATAATTGGAACGAAGAAAGCTCATTGAAAGAAATTATAATATTTTCCATTTATTTTCTTTATTTGGAAAACAATTTTCATTTCCTGTTTTCTTTCAAGTTGCTATCATCATTTCAGTAGATGATAAAGAATTGTTTTTATTTGTTTTCAACGCAATAAGATATTTGTCTTCTTCTTGTAATGTTGATACGTCTGATGTTGATTTAATAAAGAAAAGATCATCAAAGTCTGAAAACCGTAATTTGTTTCCACTTCTTTATTTGTCTTCTTCATTTCTTCAACTTTTAATTTCATGCTTCTGATTTCAGTTCTCATAAAGTTGGAGATTTCTTCATCTCGTGTCCAATAACAGGATGGGTCAAAAATAGACACATTTACTGTCCTTGAGACTTCTTGAATGTCCATGTCCATCTCTTCTGGTTTTTAGCTTTTCATTATTTATGAGTTGGATATATTTTACTGCCACATATCCCTCGATAGATTTTTTAGAATATTGTCCAGTTTAAGGGAAGTCAAGTGAAATCATCGATAAAATATGTATGATGTGGATGAATTGCCCTGGGACATCAAACTCTTTTTTGCCAAACATGTAATAAGATAAACGAGCTGAAAAAGCTCTTTGCTGAATCATAAATCAAAAGGAAAACTCTTTAACTTTGGTTTTTCTTTTTAGAAAACTCAATGAAAAGCGTCATTAGTTAGGATACTAATCCTAAACCTTTCTGCATCATTAAATCTAATTTCATCTTTTTGATATTTTTAGACGCTTTTGTTCAAATATTTTCCCAAAAGATTTACTTTGTTTGTGATTTAAATTTTGATGGAGCTGTGACCATGAATTATGCTACTGGAAAATATTCAAAACATCTTCTCATTCCTTATTTAAATTTACTTCAATTTAAATTCATCAAAATAAAAATCCTATTGACATAGCAGTTCGTTAACCTAGAAGCAAAAACTTCAACTTCAATTAAAGCGAAACAGTTAATCAAAAGTTACCATTAATCAGCACCAGTTTTGACAGCATTAATCAACATTTTTTCAGATATCCAACCCAACAACCCTTTTGATCAAACAATTTTATAATTTAAAATCTAATTAACATTCAACAATACTTAAGGGTGTACAAATAAACATTTTATTTATTGTATTTAAAGCTTGCATAGGATGCCTTTTTTAAAATCACAAATCCTTTTTTAAAGATTCTGTTCACCCACAAAAGCTCTTAATGCTCACAAACTTTTCTCTTCATAATGTAAATTACTTATATTTTTTTTATATTCTTTTATTTTTCGGTTCTTTGGTTGTTCAATTCAGGGTCAAGAAGTTAAATAAATAGCTTAAAGAAGAATCAACAGATTTTCGTTACGTTAAATAAGTGAACATTTTTTCCAATTTGATCAGAGGTTTTTGGTTTTCATATTTTGTTTTTTAAGGCTTCCTAAATAAATACGGGCTTTTGGCGAGGTAGTTAAAATTTACCGAAGGATGTCTGGCTGAAAAAAAGAAGTAAAACATGAGTCATTATTTCAAGTACCTTAATTTACCTATAAAACGAAATTTATGATGAAGAAATTGGATTGAAAATGTGTCCTATATAAATTAATGTCTCAAATATCCTAGGAAAACATTTTAATCCAAGACATGAAAATTCTAAATATAAATTTCAAGTCAATCATGTAATATTATTTTTTAATAAAGATGTTGGAGCATTTTCAATTTTGATCGCCTTATAGGCTCCTTTTCCCTTGAATTGAAGTTCATTTTATGTTGTGGAATAAACAGCTCCGTTAAGAAGCTTCACAACAATCTCATCAAAGGAAAACATGAAAAACATTTTGTTAAAAAATTCTTTCTTTCAATTTACCTATTGTTGTGAAAGAGGATGTTAAAAGGGGTGGAGTCACATGGTTTCCAGTAATGTTCGTCACAACATGATTTGATTCTGAGCCAAGAGCACCGTTTGAATGCAACGCTGCAGTGTGTTCAGGTCCAATTTGGAATGATGGATGAAACTCATTGGGAAACCCGCTTGGTCCACTATATCCACTAATGTCATAATTATACGGTACCATCATAGGTTCCTGGGGTTCATAATATTGCGTTATTCTAGAAGAAAGCATTGAAATCCGAACCAGCTTGGAAAATTTATTTAATTTTTGTCTCACCCATAATAATTTTCAAACATTTTCCTTAAAGTCAAAATAACTCCAATACTAAGAGCAAGCTTAGCAACTATAAAAGCTTTGGTAGACAAAATCGTAACACCAGCTAACGCTAAAAGCCACCAACCAGCTTGTGATGCTACTAGAAAAGCTGGAACAAAGAATTGTAATTGCTTTCTCTCAAAAGGGCCTCTGCCTATAATAATAAAGAAAAACTTTGATGGAACGAAATTTTCATGATCTACTCTATTAAGCAAAACAAATTTATTGTTTAAAGAAAAGAAGAAAGTGAAAATTCACATTGAATGATTTCGAAGGACAATTTTCTTTACAATAAGAATAAAGAATTATTAATGAATGGATGATTTTTTTGAAATTAAAACCTTTTACCTTCGACAACCTTTCCAATGGAAACATCCATGAAATTTTCGTATTCCTGTGATTTCTGAAGCGTCAATGAATAGTCACCAAAAGGCACACGCAAAGCATTGTTGCTTATAATTTTCCAAATTTTCGATAGCGATCTACCTTTTACTTCTTTGATATTTTTCACTGGTTCTATTGAAAACAGTCCTAAATTTATTATTTTTCTTGTCATCAAAGCTTTCACAATTTTATTTAAGACATTATTTATACAACTTGAGTTGGTAACACAAAAAACTTCAACATTCAAATCCACTTTTTCGGGTTTTATTTTTCTTGTTTTTTCTACTGGTGATTCTGAAGTTTGCTGAATAAAGAGCAGAAAAACTGATAACAACACAAACTTTTGATATTGATACATTTTTATTATTGACACTTGAAGTTTCCTTTTCCGTTTCACCGAAGATTTAAAAGGCGAGAAAGGAAAATGAATATTCATAAACCAAGAACGTGTTTTAATGGCGCGATTGCTCAACAAATACTTCGATTCTACTGATAAAGTTCCAATTTCTGCTGCTTCTTTTATCTTCTTTACACTTGATAAAACATCCCCCTCTAATTGCGCCGACTTCAAGTATAAGAGAAAAATATTTCGCACTAAATATCTCTTCTTAACTTTACAAGATGCTCTTTTGTTATGATTAGAAAATGAAATTTTTCATAGAACGAACACGCTAAGTACAAGACCGAAATTATAACAGAATTGATTAATTAAAAACATAAAAACTTGATAGCGTGGTTTAATAGTTTTATCAGAGCATAGAGATGAAACAATTTTCATGCAAACGACTTTCCAATGTTCATTGGATATTTATTTATATGTAAGTACAAAATGTTTTCTTTTAACAACTTTTTTTTATCAACGAAACTTCTACAGCTAAATGAAAAGTGTGAATGAAAGCTAAGTGAGAATGAAAGCATTTCAATGTCAACACAAAAAAGTTTTATTTAATTCAATTAAGAAGAATCACTGTAAGATGAAAACGGCTATCAGTCGTGTAAATGAAATTCAACTTGTTTTTTCGTTCAATGCGACATGTTTCGATCCTTTATTTGAATCTTTTTCAAGCAACTGTGAAGTTAAAATACAATAATTATATTTAGCGAAACAACTTAATAAAAGAAATTTAATTTACTAACAACAAAGTTTCGTCCGGTTAACATAAAATATTTTTACATTTGTTGTGTAAGCAATGTCGCAGTTTGAGAAGCTAACATCAAATAAAATTTACATTTAAAACAAATTGCAACAGATTAACAAACATCATAATACCTAATATCATCAATTTTATCACAGAATCTGACTTTAAATCAACTTTTTTCCTATTTAATTGCATGTAAACAAACTTAATTTTCAAAAACTTTTAAAGAATTCCTTGTGTACGTTCAGAAATACTAAAGGAGGTTCAAAAAATGTTTTATAACTGAATACTTTTTCCAACTTTAACTAAATTAAAGTGTTGTAAATGGACTGTAAGTTTGCAACATCACTTTTCAAGTTGATAGATTTGTCTTCGTTGAAATGAAAAGTGTGAATGAAAGCTAAGTGAGACTGATAGCCGTTTTCATCTTACAATCATTAAATCCAGTCGAAATCCAAAACAAGAAGAATCACCATTTGAAAATATTCATTAATAAGCATTCAATGTCTCGAGATATTCAATGTACATATCTGCATAAGTTTAGACATCCTTTTGATTTATTTAAAAGAATGGAACTATTTGTTCAGACATCAACTTCAATGTAGAGTTTTTTAACATTATTCATGCAATGAATCTCTGAACGCATGGAACATAATTGACAGAATAAGTTCAGTGACTAAGAATTTTAATTAAACAAATAAAAGGAAAGAATTTTTAACTATCATTCATATCTTATGAATATTTGATGACATTTTCTATGTTGTTTGTTTTTCAATTTTTATACAATTTCAAATGTCAGAAATGAGAAATAGAAAAGTCACACTTCACATTGCTGCTTTTAAAAGATTTACTGAGATCCTCTAAATAAGACTTATCGAACAGAATGAATAATGAATTGAAATCTATTCAACAGTTGAACATTCGTAAAACTTCAATAAATAAATGAAAACTTTAATGAAAAACTTTTTAATGGTTGGCAAGTTTTCTTCTACGGATGTATTGTAATTGTAATACTTTTGAAAGATGTTACTTTTGATATTTCATTAAAAAATGATTTTCTCCAAGGATTTTTGTTTGTTTGATTTCTCATACAACTGATATCAAATTTGTTATACATCCTTGAATATTTTCTCATACATAATAATTGACCCTCATCAAAAATTCACATTTGTGTTTGTTGAATTCATTTATAATAAACAGATTGATAGATCTAAATATAATTCATTTCATCCATAAGTTATTTGAATGTTGTTTTATTCATAAAAGTGGTCAATAATAATGATACTTACTTATTCACATAAAAAGATCAGAATCTATCATGAATTCGAATTCAATTTATACTTATGATTAATATGTTTGTTTCTGTAAATTGAAATAATTTTTAATATCTACATACGTAAATTTATTCAAATTTTAAGTCGGAAAACATGTAGATTGCAAGCATGAATGCAGAATTCATTCAACTAGGTAATGATGAAATTAAAAACCGGAAATTTAATGTGCTATGAAGATTAATAAAGTATAGCAAAGTATCATGAAATCCGTTTCATTTTCATCATCACTGAATCAGAATAATATGAAAAGAAAAGTGAATCTTTATTTGTGGAACTAAAATGCAAGAGTGCCGATATGGAAGTATTAAAAATCTTGATATCTGCAAGATTTTGTTTGCTTCGGAAAATTATCAGTCGTTCCAGAAAATCATCCAGAGAATTATGTTGAGAAAACAAATAATTTCAACAAATGTTTTCAAATTGCAAAAACTAAAATATTTTGATTGATTGCTTTCCAAAATCTTTTGTCTAATCTTGAAGAGAAAACAAGCAAAGATTTTTTAACAAAAACTGAAGATTTGGCTTCATGATTAACATTATTGAAGTAATATATATTTAATAATTCTAACTTGTTATTCGAAAGCGATTAATTAATTTTTATTTAGTAAATTCGATCATGTTGAAGCATTAATTTAATAAATAATAAATGTCACAATATCAGCAACGTATGATGACAAACAAAAGAAAGATGACAAAAAAAAGTATTTGACTGAATTTTTTAAACTTGCTCAAAATTTTTAAGTCGGGTTGAAGACTTCATGGTGTGTTAAAATATGCACGCAGCTCTTAAAGCTTTGAAAAGTTTCTTCTGGAAAATGTCTTAAAGACTTTGAAGAAGGTGCGAAATGGAAAAGCATCATCAGATATGGGGGGATAGAAATTATTCTCAGTCCTGTTGCGATTAGGATATTATTTGTCAAAACTTTGCAGGCAAAGTTGACATCCTGTTTCGTCCAAATGGAAAAGCAAGAATGTGATTCGTTAGATATTTATGTCGACTTGTAATTCATTTTTATTTGAAAACATTAGTTGAAATTATTGGTAAGTATTTCTTATACATACAGTATATCTAGATAAATTGTCAAGTTTATGCTAAATGGCTTCATCGACCAAAAAAGTTTAGGTGATTGTTAATAAATATACACTAAAATGAATGATGGCACCTGTTTTGAAATAAGAAACTCGATCCGTTTTGGAACTTAGCTAAAATATTTAAATTAATGAATTTAATGAAGAAAATAATTTCGCCATTAACAATTTCCATCAAACTTGTTTGAGATCTTGAGAGGGTTTTTTGAGAGGAAATAATAGTATTAACCTTTCTTTTGATTGCCACATTATCGCTTCTAGTAAACTTTATTTTCAACTTTATTAAACAGGCAATAAAGGTTTAAGCTTCATATTGAAGTAGCTCTAACATTTTTGATTATTAATTAGATTTCATCGTCTATTGTTATACTTTAAATCATCTCAATTGATGGAAGTTTGCAAAAAGTTGGAAATGGAAATTTATGCTACAAATCTTGTCTTAAGATTGTTGTTCATGGTCATTCAAACAGAAATCATTTCTATTCACAATGTCAATCGATTATTCAACAGTTTGACATTTCTGGGTTAGTTTATACAGAAATTAGGTTCATTATCGTTTTGTTGACATGACATAAGCACAATATGTTTGACTTTTTCATGTCATCGTTAGATTCAAATATGTCGATTTTTACACGACACTACATGTTGCATATAAATCAGGCGTTGGAAAATACAATTTCGGTTGCCACACTACCATAGAAATTGTTTTTATGCTCTATGAATATCTACATTCTTCACGTGTCTTTCCACTCTCACTCAAATCAATCATCACGCAAAGTGTTTTCTTATTTTCTAAGAAACTTTAAAAAGATTGAAGTCGATAGATGAAAATTTATCAGATCTTAATTTTCATGAGGCTTAGAATGTGTGCAGATTTCTTCAAAAGAAGTGGTTGAAGTCTTTCTGAAGTATTAGCTTCTTCAATTTCATTTCAACCTGACTACTCACTCAAATCAATTGAATGAAGTCTTAAAGATTTTGTAATTCACCTTCTTCATCCTTACTGAAAATTGTTTCAATTACTTAAAGTGAAACTTTGTTTAAAATTAGAAGAAAGAAAGTAATTTATTTAAAATGAAAATATTTTCTTTTTAATAAAAAAATACGAAAAAATTGGTAGACTGCAAAGAAAGTTTAATCCATTAGTAACATTTGGTAGATTTATTTAATTTTTTTTGGACTCGTTTGATCTTGACAATGGAAAGCAAGAACCGACCAGCAATTATCCACAAATTTGATTCGCTTTCATTTTTGAATGTAATTACATTTTCTAGACTACTTCAATTTAAGCCAAACATACGTTTTAAAGGCTTTTGTTTGATTAAACTTCATGTTATAGAGAAAGAAGAAAAGTTTATAAGTATATAGAGCACTTGGGGTATTTTCCTATGAAGCAAATGATGATTTCGCCCCAAAAACCAACAATTAATCTTAATTTAGCTAATTATTACTTATGCTTGAAACAGTAAGAATATTGTAGACTGTTTCGAGTCATTATGTAATTTACCCAATTTCTCCCCGTGACCAATCGCATGTACTGCTATCCCAATCTCTTCTTAGCATCGATCAAAAATTCAAATTGAAATAAAATTACTTTTACCGCGGCATGGGTGGAACAATTTCATTTGAAAACGAGAAGAGAATTGTGAACAGACCTTTATAGATTTTGCAGTTAGATCAACTTATTTTTGATGTTGTTGTTGTTAATGAAAATCAATACAAATTTACGTTTTTTTCTTAGGTCATTTTTGTTAATCTGAAAAGATGCTTTTGGAACATAAGAAAAGACCAATTTACAGTAGTTTCGGTCTGGCCCAATTTTTTAAAAGTCAGATTTTTCATCTTATTCCATGCTTTTAGAAGTGATTAAAGCATTTTTCGTGGTTTAGTTTCATCGCTTGATTAGAGTGTAATTTGCTGCTGATTTTTTTCTATTTTCTTCCTCTTGCTGTTGTTGTTACTTTCATGTATTCTACATTCGATATTGTTAGGCCCGCAGAAAGAAATATCTACAACAACAAAACGATAAGTGAAAGAAAAAAAATCTTCAAAATTTATTTTTCGGCAATAGCGAGTGATATAAATTCGTGGACGTAGCAAGTGTACTGATTCAGTTCTTCATAGAGTTTCATTGCGATTGTAACTATTGGAATAAAAGTGCTTGTTCTTACATTACTTCAATAAATAATAAAAAAAATAACTATCAAAAGAAATGTTTGGAAGTGCACGCAAACAGCTGTTGATACTCAGCGTAATTGTGATTGTTTCATATGCAAAGGGAAATGAATTCCCTGACTGTGCAACAAGTGAGAATCCTATTGCGTGTCGTAGTGTTAGCTTTTTGTCAAAAGCATTAAATCAAGTGGTTTCTAATCCACATGATGAAAGCTTGAAGCTTTTACCAGGATTAGAACTTGTTCAAAATGATAACATTAATACAGTCAACAATGTCAACGACGAACGTTCAATGCCAGAGCAATCGAATGAACCAATTTTGTTAAGAGTCGCCAAATATCTTCAAACACATGATTTGAAAATCAAATTCTCTGATATCATCGGAAAATCAGATTTGCAAGAGGTTGTCAATAATTTGTTCAGCAATGATGACCCAGCACTCGGAGGTAAACCTTTCATAACACATGATTAAATATTCAACAGCAGAATGATTGATTGACTTCAAAGTGTCTGTCATTTATTAACTTGTTAAAAGAAATTTTTCATATTCACCTCACATGTGATATCAGAAAACTGAAGAAAGATTTGAAACGTACAAAAATATTAAAATACATTTTTGAATTCATCTTAAATCTAGAAAGAAAGTTTCTTCGGTTTGCGTCTGTACTTTCTGAGAGACCTTAACATGCGCTTTAACACGTCTTTAAAATTGAGCTTTTAAGCTTCAGCTTGAAGATGTTGAGCTTTACCTTGAAGTCAAAAAGAAAGTTTTATCTTTTGAAAATATTCAAGCAGACAGCTTTTCCAACTTACACATAATGGAACGTTTTTAAATTTTCAGAAGCTCGTAAAGGAGGCGGAGGTGGAAAGGATAAGGGAGGTGGAGCAATTTTGATGTCAGGTTTAATGATGGGTAAGAAGAAAACTTTCTTGTGTATCGATTCATTTGAACTCATGAGAAAATGTATGAATTTGTAAAGGAAAAATGATGGCAGCTATGGGGCTTGCCGGTGTTGGAGCTTTGGCTGCTAAAGCTCTTGGTGTTTCAATGATGGCTCTTATGCTTGCTGGTATTGTTGCTTTGAAGAAGCTCACTGAAGGCCATGGAGACGGCGGACATCAAGTTCATTACGTACGTATAATTACTTGCTTATACAATTGTTGAAAGTTTTGTTGAGTCAGGCACGTGTCTAACTACAAAGATTGATTGTTGTGCTCTAACAATCTTTATGGTTTACCGTTTAAAAGATTGATTTCTATGAAAACAGTCAAAAGTAAAAATATTCCAGCTTCTGAATAATTCAACGTGACCTTCTGTTACAAAAGATTCTTAAGAATTAAAAGCTCATGCAAATTTCTTTAGAATTTTTTAATTAAAAGTTTGAGAAAAAGATTACAGAAGAATGCTGAAAATTTATTTTATTGCCATTCCTTTCAATTATTCTTTTATTTTTTGAAACCACATAAGACGATATAATAAGGCATTTAATAACAATTGTTCGTTATTTGCTTCTGTTTGCAGGTGTCAGCAGGCGGTGACCATCATCGAAGACGCAGAAGCGCTGAATATAGTAATGAAAGGTCTGATGTTCATGACTCTATTGCGCCACTTCCATACAGAGGTTATGACATGAATTCATAATTGCTTCATAGTTGATGTAATTTAATTTATTCAAAAACATTATTTATTACGGAGTCTATTCCGCTTTCCTTCTAACTGCCTCCCACCTTCGCTAAAGCAAGCAATACTTATGAAGAAAGAAAAAAATAAAAAAAAACATGCAAAGAATAAAAAAAACAAATTATTGAAGAAGTAAGAAAGAGATCGCTTTTAATTTCACAATCAAGCTCATGTAAATGTCTTCCACTTTCTTTCTCAGCTTCGTTTTCTGCCTCCAACATTCCAACAACGAGTCAAAGAAGAGAAAAAAACGTTTACGGAAATCTTATAAAAAAATGTTTCTTTTCTTCTACTTTGACTACTAAGAACAGGTTTCAAAACGAAAGAAATATGTGTCAACATTTTTTTCATTCGCTCCTTCTTCTCTTGTTTCGTCTTTAAAGTGAAATTCATTTTTTAAGCGTTAAATCATGAAAGTGGAGGATATGAAAGATTCAAAGCCCTAATGGCTTACGCATACGAGGAACATTGAAATTGAATCGCTTTCGGTGAATTTTTATTTCATTTATTTTTTCTGCTGCTTCATCAATAAAAAATAAGAAATGGGGTGATGTACGGTAATGATGTTGAATTATATTCAAACTCATTGAAATAACTGAACAAAAAAATGAAAACGAAATCAAAAACGGTTCCATTCGGGAGATATCAGGTGCAAAAGAAACCCAAGCGAGCTTGAAAATGCTTTAAACATCTCCACCAACCCATTAATGCAATTATTCACAAGTACAGATGGAAGCATTTGAAAAATGTAATTAATAAATTAATCTGTTATTTGTGGGTTAAATGGTAAAAGTTTCTTTCATCCAAGTCAAGAAGTAACAGGTGTTTAATTATTTTTCAGGTCGATGTTTTGATTTATTTAAGTTGTGAGAATCATCGATGCATATATTTTTTGTGCATATTAACTTTGCTTATTTTAATTGACTGTTAAATCATTAAATGCTAAAGTATTCAACATAATTAAAGTCGTCACTTTCCAACAAACCCATCGCTGTGCTTAAACTTGAAGAGAAGCGAAAAAGTGGGACAGTAGGTTGACTGACCATAGCAAGGTCTTTTTATTGGTCTTTCTTTAAGCTCAATCTCTTTCCTGGTCGTCAACATTTTTGCTTCGCGTCTTTTTTTTCATACTGCTGTTCCGTTTTACTCAAGAGAAAAAAGAAAAGAAAGAAAAAACTTTCGAAAAAGAATGAAACTAACATGATCATGACATTGTACGTATTCACAACTCATGATGCGACTCTCCACCACACCAATACTCAATACGATTAATCGTAGCTTGCAAGTATTGAATACCACGCGTTGAACGATAAAAAAACTTTTTCTTAATGAAAGAGTAAAATTTCTTTTTCGTATTTAGAAGAATCATTAATACTTCAATGATAAAATTTCCATTACCGCTTGCTTGTTGGCATCTCGAGAGCAGTATTTGGAAAGCTGACGAAATAAACTCGATCTTTACACTCATTCCTGAACAATGCCGGATTGAGAGTGAGAAGGAGGGAAGAAGTAAAACCTTTTGTGGAATTTATCACAGATTATAGTTAAAGATCAGATGAATAGACTTTAATATGATTGGGTTTTGTGCGTTTATCTTGTAATTGATCGCTTTCTCCATTGAATCAGCAAAACGACGTAAATCGACGCTAAAGTAAATGATGTTCTGCTTGATCTCTGTTATGTCGACAAATAAATATGCCTTGTTGACCTTTCTTTTCAAATCATCAGAAAATGTAAACAAAATCGATATTTCTCGAACTTTTTTAATTTCACTTATGTCTGCTGAACTCTAAGCGACTTTTGAAACTTTTTGGGTTGCTTTCGAGCATTTTATGAAAAAAAGTATATTACTTAAGCTTTCATGCCATGTTGAATATTAAATGGATTTTTAATTTATTATCAGGAGTTATTGACAAATAGTAACGAGTAAATTTGTTTATTAAATTGTGAACTGTCATGATTTGCCCAAATTTTGGTTGATTGAATTAAAACATAAATCAATCACGGTTAAACTCAACATGCATGAAGCTCATCGAATCAGAATGAAAGTGAATAAAATTCAAACTTTTCTATCACACACAGACATCAAAAGAGTTTTTTTATGAAACGTTTCGCAAAATTCTGCTTTCATAAAGGCAGATACTGTCAAATTAAATATTTAAATGCTTCGATGATTAATTCAATTTTATTTATTTTAAAAATTAATTTCCAACCACCTTTACCATTCATGATTCATGGTGATATAATGCAAATATTAAATTCCATTTTCCGAATTTAACGTAAATTTTGATTAAAAATGTTTTTAGAAATCAAGAGTGTCTAAATATTTCAATTCCAGGAATTCTATAAATAACCAGAGTATCGAAATAATTTTCCACTCCTTACCAATGTCATGGATAAGTATTTTTCTGAAAACATGATTATCTTTTTGATATTTGATTCTTATGCTGTTTCCAAGAGAATTCCTTTAAATAATTGTCACGAATGATTTTCTACTCGATTTCAAACTTTTTCCAATAATCTTATTTGACATTTTGAAATATCTAAGAAAATGATAAGATATCAAAGGATAAGATGAATAAGATGATAAGATGTCAAAAGAATAAACAAACCTTTATCAATTTTAATTTATTTATCGGCGCGTAAAAAGTTGAACTAATTAAAAACATATAACGAGTAAAGAACGCGAAAACACTTTTATACTTTTTACTTCACAATTTAACACAGAGTATTGAACGAAATCTTCTGAAGATGACAGCTGAGCTGTCGAAATAGCTATAAATGTAAGTTAAATTGTGAAGTAAAAAGTATAAAAATGTTTTCGCGTTCTTTACTCGTTATATTTAAAAACATAACACCTTTATTATATTATAATTCTCAATGGACTCTGATGCCCGACAAATGGAATGAAATTATTTTACGTCAATGATAGAAAGTAAAAAGCGTTGTATAACGAAGTTGCCTCTCACCATGAGACTTTTCAATGTTCTCATCAGATGAGTTGTTAGGTAAGGGAATGTTCAGAGTACTTTTTATTTTGAATCACAATCTTCAGGCTTAAATTTGTAAAGAAATTAAGGTTGACAATGAAGACTGTGCTTAAATCGGTGAGAAAATTGTGTTTTATTGCTATTTGAGACAAATTGTAGGAAATGTTTATGAATATTTAACAAAATGCTTCGTCATTTGTCACAGAAGTCAGTCAGAACAAATTTCATGGAACAGTAACAGGGAATACGGTAACAGCAGTGATCACTTTCATGTGTTAAAACGACTTGTGCTAGATTTCAGTTTTGTTTCAATTTCATTTTCATTCATGAAAGTCATCAGCAAATGTTTCAAATTTTTACGATGATGTTGTTGGTTTTAATCTTCACACTTGTAATGACTTCCGAAAATTATTATAAAATGATTAAATTGTTTTAACACCTTAAGTCCTTCCTGGATTATTATAAAGCAAATTGCCTATATTTAAGTAGTTCATAACCTACAACCATCTGTTTTTCCGCCAAGAAAACATGTTTAATAATTTTCTATGGTCAACTTTAATGTCTAATACTTAAGTAAGTTGGTTAACGTAAAAACGTGTAAATCATGCGGCCTCGGAAAAAGGGAAACTTTTCTTTTTAATTTTTGTTTGAAATTTGTTCATGTGAAACTAAAAGTTAAAAGATCTATTTATAGAAATCAGCATGGATGTTACTTAAGCAGCAAGTGTCAAGCTAAAGTGTGGTCTCTGCTTGAGGGAAAAACAATGATAATTGTTATTGACTTTTTTCCTCAACAGTATCGGACGTTTAATGGAAAATTTCACTCTTCATTTGAGAATGTTTGCTGAAAGTGAAAACGACAATTCGTCGTCGACTATTTTCACCTTAACAACTTAACTTTTCCAATTGAAGGTTATTAACACTAACTCTAATTACAAAATAAATTAATGTTATAAAAATGCTGTGCACAAGTTAACTTTTCTTCGTTCTTCATCTCGCTACTTACCATTCAAACAGAGGTGATGATCGTATGGCTAATCTAACTGTAAATGTGATTTCCAGCCAAATGCTCAAGAGAGAAACTATATTCAAGTGTTTGGCTAAACGCGGCAACGCGGCCCAGATGGCCAAAGTAAAGAAATGCAAAACCATTGGAAATTAACAACAAATTCTGTACTTGGAGAAATCATCTTGTGAATTGATAAATGAAAACTCAAATGAAACATCCCGTGATGATTTGATTTAATCTTAAGTATTGCAAAGTAACGGGAAGAAAGTTTATGGGATAAAATATCTCTGGGTGTGGGCTTAAACATTGTTTCTGAAAAGATTATAGAAATGAAAAGAAAATTAGGCTATTAACTTTGTCTTCACCTACTTAAGCTTATCAACATGTCTAATAGCCTTTCTTAATTATGTAATGAATTAAATTAAATGTCATCGCATTCGTCAAAATAAATAGTAAATAAGTAAAGATTACATCGTTTCATTGAATGAAAAGTACATGTAATGGTCCCGTAACTAAGTATTATTATCACATAATAGTTTCCTTTCTAAAAGCATAAGAAGAGTAACATCACATCATAATCATGAATAAGTGTTTTTTTTTTCTTTCTCTTCGCTATCACATCAACATTACAGAATCGTGATCGAAGTTAAGCAATTCTTTGGAGCTATTAGGTGTGCAGCACAACACAAAAAAATCAATTATACGCGTTTCTAGTTTGATTACGTTATGAAAGCACGCGACAGCTAAACATTCCGTCTTCATTACTTTCTTCAATCACTCAACTTGTTGGTGTTGATTGATTTCTAGTCAAAAAAAAAGAAATATAATAATAAGAAATAGCAGAGCGAGCCATATAAAAGCGGATTTAGTGTAATGAAAAGTAAAATCAGGTATTTAACGATAAATTAGCAGTTCAGTAGCGAAATAAAAGCGAAATGTAGAGCCGATTAAACGCCAAACAAAACAAGTGAAGCACAATACAAAGCATGTTTAAAAGGCTTGAAATTTTTAAAGCAGAAGAAGAATGTTGAACAAACTTTTAATATCATGGGAAAAAGTTTTACTTTTTCGACCACACAATGATTCGTGACGATGCGATGTGACTAAACTAAATGTCTTCATATGAATTAAAAATTTAAGTTAATTTCTCGTAAATTTGTAAGGCGGATTAAACTTTTCTTCATATTAATAACCGGATGCAGATGATTCGTTTGTTGCACTTTTGAAAACAAAAGTTTCCATTTTTTTATCTCCTTTATTAAACCGTTGTATGACATGAAATGATTGAAGACGATGATCACAATCGTGATATGTATGAGAAAACTTTCGTTTACTTTACAATGTTAATATTTGAAGTGGTCATAAAAAATGAAAACTCGTTCGGCTCGATTATCATTTAAGCAATGCTTGTGATTTTTCTTTTCACACGTTTTAACCGGAACTCTTAGCATGTACGAGACTGAGGCGAACGACCTGTGAAGCAACATAATGCGTAAATTCTTCACAATTGAACAATATGATATCTAAATTGAAGTTTTTTAAGAATTTTTTTTTATTCTTCTCATAAGTCATAACAAATTAAAATGAACAGAATTCCTGAGACGAATAATTGATATGTAATTGGCGCGAGCGCTAAATATCTTTCCAAAATTAGCATTTTTTTTCACCCAATGCTTAAATCTCTTTTCAATGTCCCACTTTTGCCTCCCCAATGTGACAATCTTTTAGTGTTGTTTCGCTTTTTTTTGTGTAAAAGAAAGATGAGTTGCTTCTTAATATATTCATAAGAATATCAACACATATATGCGTGATCAGCCCAGCGAAAAAAAACGATGATTATGAACAATAAAATTAAACGGGAGAAAATGTAATTGTGTTTGACTAAATATTTCCAAAGATATTTCCACCCATTTCTTCCGAAAAGAAGAAGAAAAAAGTTGAAAGAAGAAGAAGAAGAAAAAGAATTGAGCGCGCTTTAAGTCATTTCGTGGCGTCAAGAGCGTGATAATATATTCATAATATACAGTAATGTACCACAAATTCCAAATACAAATTTCTTCTTTCTTCGTTTAATTTTTAAATTATTTCAAAGCGGAAAATGCTGGAATTGTGCGTAGATACATGTGATTGACTTATGCCCCTGAAAACTACTCGATGAAGAAGTTCATGAATATAATTAATTTCCGACAAGAAAAAACTTTTACGCGGTGTTAAAAGAAACTTATTTGCATTTTATTCATTCAAATTTTTGTTTCATTAGTTGTCTTCTTCTCCTACTTTGTCGCTTTCCTCAATAATCGCAGTCATCATCATCGCATCATCTTTGTAGTGGACACTTTTTTTTCGTTTGTTGTTTCTCAAAAGGCATTTATCACATGTCTCACTTTTCCTGAAGACGAAGAGATTTCTGTGGTTGTTTGTCTCAGAGCAGAGATTTTTTTTTGTGTATTCATTTCACTGGAGTTGGGAAAAGAAAAACGAAAAGAAAATAACACCGAGAAAGAAAAGAATAATATATGTATGTAAGTTAAATATCCGAAAAGAAATAATAACAAGAAAAATGTATTAATAAAATTTTATTCTGCCGTGCCTTTGAGAGGGGGGTTGCTTCTCTCGTGTCGATTGTTTGGTACGTTGGTAGGCGTTCGTGCTCACATACGGAATCACAAAATTTTCAAGCCGCTTGCTGGATGGTTTAAAAACACCTTGATATAAACTGAAAATTGTCAATTTAACTTTAGTTCTATTCCAACAAACATATCAGGAGTAAAGAGAAATAAAATATATAAAAAGCTTTTTGTATATTTTCGTATTTTTCGAAATTTAGTGATTTCTAGTTCTGTTATCAGTGAAAAACAAATTTAATTAAAAATGTTCAGAAAAGTTGTGTTCGTACTATGCATTATCGGCGTTGCCACAGCCCAAGAAAGCTTCAAGGATTGCTTACAAAAGGATTCAATCTCTTGTGTTCAATTATCGGTACGAAAGGAAAAGAAATGAAAATTTTGGATTACTTTGAGATTTGAGTGATAACTTAAGTGAATTTCAAAAGAAATTTTGATAAACAAGAACATTACGAGATGCATGAAGTGTCTTCAAAGTTTGTTTTGATGTTCACTTTTTCCTAATCTCAGAACATTCAATGATAACAATCAAAGTGAACTAATAAAGTGAACAAAAAGATTTTCAAATCACTTGTGAGAAATATTCCGGTATTAATTAAAATTTGTTTCTATTTGTGTAGATCTATCGAAAAGCTCGTGAATTCTTCGAGTCACCGAAAATCGAAATCATTAGCGGACTTTCATTCGTCAAACCAGCTGGTCGTGATGCTCGCTCATCAAACATTGATGGAACTTTCGTTGAAACCGCTAACGATGTTGAACAACGTGAAAGTGCTTTAGAGAACTTTGTCACTGAAGGTGCTAAGAACTTCTTCCAAGAACGATCTCTCAACCTCGACATGGCCAGCGCAGCCCGCAGCGTTGCTGGAGTTATCCCAGAAGAAGTTAAATCATCAGTTCGTTCATTGGTCTCAGAAGCTCGTGGCAAGAAGAAGAAGATCATGAAACATCTCATGCCAATCCTTGGATTGATGAAATTGAAATTCGCTGGTTTGGCTGTCATCGCTCTCTTCGGAATTGCTATGATTGCAAAGAAAGCTTTGGTCATCGCCGTCATTGCCCTCGTCTTGTCAAAATTCTTGCTCATCAAGAAACTTTTGTCAAAGGGTAAGGGTGAAGGTGCACACATTGGCGGACTTTTGGACGCTTTCGACAGCCTCGGCTCCCACAGCCAGCCCGTTGGACAACAACTCGCTTACTCGGGACACAAGCAATACTAAACAACAGCCAGTAACTCTCAGAAGTAAAAGAAAGAAGAAGATCTTTGAGTTTCTAGTTTAAGCAAAAAAAAACATTGAAAAGGGAATCACAGTTTAAGGAATTTTCCGATGACTCAACTTCAGCTATCAATTTCAAAAAACTTCTTTCTTCGCTGATGCACATAAACTAAACGAAAAACTTTCTCCTCAGGATGAAACTCTTACTTTCCCTTCGAAGCTCGAATCTTTTCTACTCAGGATTTTATCTCGTTCTCTTCAAAGAAATTTCTTCTATCCGATCTACACGACATGTTAGATTGACAAATTGCGTTGAACCGCTAACAAAAGAAACCACCAAATTTACAATAGCTTATTATTAATCTTAATTTTATTGACTAAATGCTTGACAAACGCTTCTCAGCACAAAGTTTTAGCTTAAAAAATTTCTATCTAGTCTACCACCCAACACAACCCAACACATGAACGACACGACTTTTGCACATGAAATAGTTCTTTAAGCTCTTACTCGATTAATTTTACTCTTCACTGTTTTCTAGTCTCTTTTTTATGTTTGTTATTAATGATTTTATGCTTTAATTTTACACTTTATCATACTGAACTGTATTCCTAAGTTTACAAACCAAATCTTTCTTTTTCATCTCTCTTTACCTTTCGTATCCAACAAGCACTCTTTCTTCTTCCACCGTTACACAAATCTAAGAAATGACTTAAACTTTGTAAAATGCACTTTTTTTCTCAATTAGATTGCCGAAGAATCTTCTGACGTCTCGAGAGATAAGTGAAAACGAAAACCACAAACAAACACAAAAAAAGAATCAGAAAACCCAATTGCATAGAAAAATTGTTCTTAAAGTTAAATTATTTTATTTATTTATTTATTTCGAACAACGAGAAAACAAGAAGAAAAATAAAGAAAAACTTGTAAATAAGCAAGCAATCAAAATGTGAAAAAATTAAAAACAAGCAGAGTTTTAAAAGCCGAGATACAACTTATTAAAATTGACCAAAATCCCTATTTTAATTTTTCAGAACAATATTTTTCCATCATTTTGATGTTTTGGATAAATAAGGTTGAAGTTGTCCACGAGACTGGTTTCCAAGAAATTAACAAATTTCACTGTCATTGTTTTAGATCATCTTCCGAAAAATATTTTTCAACAATGTTTACTCATCTTTTCATCGCTTCTTATTCCGAATACGTTTGTGAGAAGTGGCTAACGAAGACAAATCATGGTTATATTATCATTCATGAAAAAGAAAGTCAAACGTGGTCTTTGCAACACATTTCATGCTTTTCTTTAATTGGTGTTTTTTTGCTGTGGCATCGAACAACCACTACACAAATACGATGCGGTCCCACAATGAAGAGAGGCCGAAGACAAGACAGAAAGTCAATGAACCTCAACCAACATTCGCTTTTACATCGAATAAATATTTTTACACGAAAAAAAACTTTCGTTTGACTCCAAAGTGAAACAGGATGTGTTGTAAGTTAAAGAAGAAAAAAAAACCGCAGTTCATTCAAAAACGCAATGAAAAGATTTGCGCACACGATTATTGAAAAGAAAGTTTTCATTTTGCGCGGTAAGATTTTTGAAACAATAAAAGTTAATTTATTGCGATGCCGGTAGGGATGTTGGCGAGTACATAAATATCCTAAATGCTTCTGAAAAGGTTTCATGTCTATGAAATATCCTACGGGGGTTGAAAAATGCTCAACAACAATTGTTATTTTTACTAAAAGAAGGACCCAAAAGAAATGTCAATGTTTTTATGAAAATAGCAGCCCCAACATTCCTTTTCGAGTTTTTACTTCAGACCAACTGACGTATTACAGACCGAAACAAGAAAAATTAAAATCAACCAGAGAATGCAATCAGGGATGCCAACCGACAGTTGCAAAATGTAGTTCAAGAGAAATTGGATAAATGATTCTGTTTGCCAATCCAATTATTATAGATACTTTTCTTATATTTGCATTTTTATTGTCTTGTTCCGACTTCCAATTGGCTTATCAGTGTTGCTACTCGATTCATGCATTTCAATCATGCAGTCGTGAAAAATAAAACTTGATTTCTCGATTTTCTCCTTTAGATTTTATATTTTAATTCCTTCTGTCATCGTCGTTCACGAAAAAAAAAACTTTTTGTGTTTAAAGCGAGTGTTAAAAAGAAAGAAGAAAAGCTTTTAATGAGAAAGTTTGAAAGAGACTCTTGAGGAAAAAGTTTGACGTTGAAGTGATGATTCATTATGTTTTACACTGTTTTAGCTTTTTTTTGTTGATTCATGGTTGGAATAATGATCATTAATTCTCATTATCGTTTAAATTAGTATGTCCAATCGCTATAAAATTGTATCAGTTTCACCACTTAAAAAGTAGTTAAGAAGTATACAATTTTAAAACATGTTTAGATGCTGATTTAATAGACTCAACCCGCAGTAATCATTGCACGTAAATATTTGATATAGAAACAGTTAAAGCGTCCATTCATTGGGAGGTAATTGATATGATTGCTGGCATTAAAGTGTTCCAACAATGCCAATAAATATCCGAAGAACAGAAGATTGATTTGCTCATTTAGAAAATTCTTCTTGATTTCTTCAGCAAGTGTTGGAAAAGCTCTAAATAATCACCAAATTTATTTAACTGACTTGAAGGTGTGAAAAAAATTCAAAAAAAGAAATGTGCTTAAAGGTTTTATTCGTTTACTTTCTTCGCTTTCGTTCTCTTCTTCATCAACAATTTATTTTATTCAGCTTTAAAAGCTCTGAAGCTTCAAAGCTTGTTTCTTGAGGCTATTTGTGCTTAAACATTTAAATTTCCAAATTAATAATGTCTTCATTTATTAAATACATTTCATTACATTTGTCGCAACTTTCATTTAATTTTTTTTTATTATTGAATTTCAGAAAACCAAAATTAAGAAGTTGATTTCAAAAAATAAAATAAAATTGAAAGAAAAATTTATTTCAGAGAAATTGAAGCTGCTTTTAATTAAATAACTGTTAAAAGTCATAAACGAACTTTATATTAATGAAGCCGACATGACCTGACTCTTTTTGTGGAATAATAATAACTCACTTGTTTAGTGAAAAATAAATGAATTTGCTTGACTATTCACAAGATTCGCATTAATTAAATTTCCGCGGTGGTCTACATACTTTCCGTGTTAATGTCTGCATGAATTTCTCGCTAGATTATTGTCCGAAAAATTGTTGAAAACGAGTGTAAAGCGAGATAATCTACTAAAGAAATAAACATACACTCATCAAGAAGAAAATCAGCTTAATGGCTCTTCAAACAACATTTCTTTAAGTAGCCGTCAATAGCTTAAGACTGATGAGTGTTTGTTCGAAGAAAGCACATCTAACGAATGATGATGTCAATTAAATTGATTACGCTTTGTGAAAACAAAATTTAAGGCTTTTGGCTTTTGACATTGCAGAAGCTTTAAATTATTAAATTTAATTTCTTTTAAATGATTCATCACATTTAACAAGAAAGAAAGGCGAAGATTGTTTTTTAAATTGTGGAATTTTTATGTGACAGCTTGCAATGTTTAAGATATAAATTTCAGTGTTTAATAGCACAAAAGAGCGCAGCGTTGGTTGGTTTACTGTAAAATCGCAATTTTCATGATTTATTTCACTTTGTTTACATTGAAAATAATCACTTTGATGCATCATACGGAATTAAGTTTTTAACGTTTGTTATCATTCAATGTCATGAAATTACCGGCAGTTCATTTGAAAACAAGATTGCTTTATTTTAAGAGCTGCAGATGGTTTATATTTTCTGATAAGAGCTAACGGATTTCAAAAGCAAACAAAAGGACAAAAATTTTATTAGGTTTAAACAAAAAAGGTATGTTGAATGAAAAGAGTTATCTGCCATTCAAATTTCCATTTAGGTTTCCCTGGCAAACCTGCATAAATTTTTCACATCTCCAATGCAGAAGTTGGGAGCACAAAAAAAATGTCATAAAAACATGTTGATGTGACATGTTGATTGGTTGGGAACTTTGAAAGAAAGCCATTCAACATAGAACATTGATATATGTTTAAAAAATAAGTTTTCTAATTTCAAGAGTCTTTCTCATGTTATCTTTTCTTGTCTTAATTTGACTTGAAAAAATTGGTTGTTGTGGGGAAATTTGTCATTGTCATTGCAACAAAAAACATATTTCTTTCACATCACAAATGGAATTTTCGAATTAATCGTCGTAGAAAGTGCAATTGTTTTCATTACCAGTCATATCTTTTGCAGAATGTAAGTACACTTAAATGTATTGTCTCGAGGGTCGAAAAATATTCACTCGAGTGCATTTCTTCTTATGATGTTGTTACTTTCATTACATTGAATTTTCTCAACACTGCAGTTCGATAGACTTGCAAATACACAAATATGACTTTACGAATGAAGAGAATGCTGGAAGATTGCAAAAAATCGAAAGTTATACAGCTCGTTTTCGGATGCAACGAATTGATGCAATTCACATGCACTTTTCTTATTATTCACATTCACATTATGTTGAGAACCGGTAATTAAGAGTCTCCGTTGGCTCGTTAAACTTTATTTATATATGGATAGTTAAGCGAAAAATTAGAAACGATAATTTAACGACGATGAAGCGATTGACTTCACATTAAGTCAAATATGAAAGAGCACTTTTTCAATTTCTCGAAAAAACAATATGGAATGTTTTTGCCCGGAATTATCAGTCACAAATTGAAGTCACTGAAGATTTGGTAAAAGTAATTTCAAGTTCCTTTTCGTTATGGTCTTGATATTGACATTCATTTCTTCTTTCTATAAATCTCACTTCGGTGAATTCGAATATCCATGGAATTTAATATACAAGTTTGATGCCCACCTGACAGCTCTTATATCTTACTCTGATCTTTCAAACACGAATACGCGTAATCGCTTCATAGTGGAAATAGTAAAAGCACATAATGATTTGTCTGATTCGACTGTTCTTTGCGTTCATTCATTCGTTCATTCATACGAAATGATTTTTTTTATTTTGTTTTTTATATATATATATTTTTTGCTTCACATTACAATTACTGCTATCTCATTGTAGCAACGTATATCGCGCGTCTCGTTGCTGTCCCGTGAACCTTTGTGTATGTAAAGAGGTACAAGAAGTTTCTTTCAAAATGAAAACCTAAACCAATACCACGAAGTTTAAGACTGTTTGGAAAAAAGAAAAAGAATCTTACATTTCCACATTTACTTTAGAGTGTAAGTAAAGCTTGGATTTAAAATTATTTTCTTATTACATTATAATATTTATTATTTGGTGGGGAAAATTGGTAAGAGAAAAAAATATCTCAGACATATATAAATATTGTCGGCAGCATTCTGCAAACCATAACAATATCATCCTTGCACCCGACAATTTGTGTGAAGATTTGTGTTCGTTGGAAGTGAAGCCCAAAAATATTTGCTTTTCGTTAAATTTGATAGAAAAGTTGAGTGTTGCCGTAGAAACTTTTAGAAAAAAATATCAAAGAAAAAAAATATTTAAAAGAACTTAAAAATGTTTGTTAAAACTGTTGGATTATTGTGTTTACTGATTGTGTCAATCTCAGCGCTTCCTGCCGAAGAAACGCGAGGACATTCAAGAAATGCTGTCAACTCGGATAATGATCTTATGGACAGTATATACAGTGATTGTCTCAGAAAGGATTCAGTTTCATGTGTGAAATATAAGTTGTTCTCGTTCGTTGACAAAATGATTGGTGCACGTGACACTTTCGCATTGACAGAAGGCGTTACAGTTGTGAAAGTTCCTGGATCTGAACAAGAAGGTGCACCCCGTGCAATTAATACTGACGATTCGATTGAATCTTTGATCATGAGTCGTATTCAGAGCTTCTTGAAAACCCACACTGTCAAAGTTGAACTTAAAGGAGCTGAAATTGTGAACGCCGTCTCGTCAACAGGTCGTGCTTTAGAAGATGTATCTGAAAGTGTGTTCGGTGACGATGAACAAGGAGAAGGCCGTGGTAAAAAGAAGAAGGCAGCCAAGATTCTCGGACCATTGTTAGCCATGGTTGCTTTGAAAGCTGCCGCTTTATTGCCACTTCTTCTCGGAGCAATTGCATTGATTGCCGGCAAAGCCCTCCTTATTGGAAAGATCGCATTGGTTCTCTCAGCAATTATCGGACTTAAAAAACTTCTGTCTGGAGGACAAGAAAAGCATGTAACTTATGAGGTCGTCGCTCATCCACATCACACATCCAGTCACACAACAAGTCATGGAGATTCATCATCTTCATACGGCGGCGGATTCTCAGGAGGTGATGCAGGCGGCTATGGAGGCTCATCGGGTGGCAGCCATGGATGGGGACGTGCTTACGATGCCCAAGACTTGGCTTACAAATCACAGAAACCTTAAATGACGTTACCATTAGTTAAAACTACTCATTGAGAAACTGACAAGGTTCCATATTGGATTCACCGACTCTCTGCTCACGACTTAGGAATTCACGAAAATCTTCTCGTCAAAGAACGATGAAGCCTGACTACGATTACCTTTACTTTTAATTGAAACGAAACGTTAAATTTGTTGAAACGTTCATTGTGTTAAATTATTTATTTGCGAATTATTTATTTTCTGTTAATTTATTTGAAGAAAAGTCAAACTGCCTGCAATTGATCATCCCTATTATGTTGTTAAAAGTCAAACATACACGAGGGAATTATAACTAACGAACCGAGGATCTCTAAAGTCATCTTTGCTATTTAAAACTATTAATTTTCTATTTCTTTCTCATCTCATTACTCTATCATCTATCATTTTACCAACTGATTGCTTCATCACTATTTGAAACGGTAAATCTCATCTCTCTATTTCCTTTCTTCACGAATCTCAAAAGTTTTCCTTTCTAAACTTCTTTCTCACTCTTAAACTTCTGTTACAATCACTTTACATACTTACAAAAATGCCACTTCGTGTACTTTCGCCTAAGCTTTTATCTTGAACTCATCTTTTCTCTTTCTCTTGTCTTTTATTTCTCATTACTTCTTACTTAGCTTTCTTACTTTCATAGTTAACTCAAGAAAATTTTCAAGCTATAATAATTCTGTCTACTGATTCTGACTTTCTCACCTACCAACAATTACCGTATCTCATTTCTTTCATAATAATTCAAAACACTTGCTAATATTCGTTATTACCTTTGTTTCCTTTCGTGAAAAATGATTTTTAATAAACGTAATTGTGAAAAGATGAAATTTTTGGTGTTTTATTGGGGAAGGTAATAGATGTGTAACAAATGGTAACAAGAGAATCAAATAAGAAACTTATTTCTTTTTCTAATAATTATGTTACTCATCGTCAAATTGTAACTGCTTATTATGTGTGCCCTCGAACTTAAACACACGTGTTGTTTGTTACTTGTGGTCTTAATTGGGTCATGAGATCACTGGACTTATAAAGTGTAACATTTGTTCGCAACCAATTCAAGTTCTTTAAATTGTCGAAAAATAACTTTCTACGGGGGCCGGTTTGTACATGGTTTTTTACATTTATGCTATGTGAACTTTCTTCTCAGTTGATCTTTTGAATATTTTTGGGAAGACAAAAAAAATGAAAGCAGAATTTTTCTCGTTAAACAGGTTTCAAACGTTGGAAAAGGATTAATCTTATCTGTTCATTATCTTCATTTAGCTTTCAATCTGTTTATTTTCTCCCTTTGCCGTCTTATGGAGGCTTAGCAAGGAACAGGAATTAATTTCATTAAAGCCATCAAAGGGGAAATAATGGCGAATAAATACATATTTTAGGCTTCAGAGATATTAATATTGAATTCCATAATCATCCTAATTATGCTGTTATTAATATCTATCTAAAGAGCTTCAAACAGTTTATTATATGTTTAAATACATTTAGAAATGTTGAAGTCCCACGCTGAATGTCCCTGAAGCGTACAGAATATTTATGTTTTCTAACCAATTTGATATTTTTCCATGTTTTCGTCTCTCTAAAAAAAATATTTGGATTTAGTAAAAAAGTCATAATGCAAAGCTTTGACGTAGGTGCTAATTATTAGGAAGTTAATGAAGCGTGTGTGGGCTTGTAATGTGTAGGAGGACAAAATATGATGCTTTTTCGTATATCCTATCAATTCTGTTATTCCTCTCGAATTTAAAGACTTCTTTTTATTATTTTACTTTTTTTTAATGTTTATCAGTCAGGATATTGAAGATAATAAAGAAGAAGAAGATGAAAAACTTTTGCAAAATAAAATATTTAAAAAGTTCTAAGTTAACATCTTGAAGATGCTTCTACTGCTTTTGAAACGAAACTTCGCTATTAGCATGTAAAGCAAATTAATATTTAAAAGCGAATATTTCATGGAAATTTTAAAAATGCATCAAAAATTTATGAATTGAAGAAAAACATTTCGCTGAAATTTTCTTGTAAATATTTAATTTCATTCATTATATTCATTTAATTTCTTATTGACAAATATTTTTATGTTTGCCTTCGTTTATGCAGATAAAATCTATTTTTCTTAGAAAACTTCACTCTGCGAGATTTCAAACAACACTGCTAAATGGTTAACAAGAGAATAACAGCGATGATTGAATTTTGGAGGCTTCAATAGAAATTACAAAAGAAATGCTCACTTAAAATTAAAATTCATAACACATTCTCGATAATCATTGATTGCCTGCCTTAAATGTAGCAAGCGTGACGAGAAAGTTATTTCAATTGCGAAATAGGTAGATAGTTTAAGACTTGAACGATGAGAAGTAAGAAAGAGAAAAAATTATTCTTGAGACTTGAGAAAAGTAACTTTCGTTGAACGTTCAGAGCTTGGAACTAGATGGAATTCCCAATGTCTTTCTTTTCTATGCTTTCTCTGCTTAAATCTAAATTTATTTTCTGTCCATAAGTTTTTAAAAGTTGTCTTTGAGAAGATTTTCTTGATAAAATTTTGAGGTCCATTCCCAAGCCCTTAAATCGTTTTCTACAAAAACTGAAACGGAAGAACTTACAGATGTTCTCCATTGATTTCATTAAATTTATTTTCGAATAATTTAAAAAGATAATCTGAGGAAACAATGTTAAAAAGAATTTTTAGATCTTTCAACTTCGTATGATGTAACACTAGTTCGGTGACTCTAAAGGTTGATGCAAATTTAACAAACTTCAATTGTTTTCATGTTGATTTGAATTAAATATATGATATGAAATTATTAGCAAAACAACCGAGAAAGTTCCAATGTTGATTTATGTAAGATGTCGAGTTTGTCGCCCTTGAAAGATAAACCTCCATTAAAATCAGAACCTCTAGAAAATGTTCAAAGGCATTAGCCTTTAAAGTCAATTGAAATTTCATTTTGTGTTGTTTTATTTATGAGCTTTTAAGTCTGTGAAAATGTAAGACAAAAAGATTTAAAGTCTTCTGTAAACATTAAAACTGATGTAGCTTTTCCGACAAGTTTTTTCTGAATGTAAAGTCTCAGGTTGATATTAAACGGTTAACTGATTGAAATTGGTATTTAATTACCATACAAGAACAGATTAGATATTGCTACAGGTAGCTTAATATGAAAAGAACTGTTTCAGAACTTCAAACTAATATGAAATCGAATTAATAACAATAAATTAAGCAGAAGCTTTTGATTTTAAAGCGTATTGCTTTGGAATTTGATTACTGTTTGGAATAATCAAATGATAATTATGATTTGCAAGTCTTATTCATGTTTGAACATTTCCTGCTAAGCTGAAACCAGCAGTGTAGAGAAATAAACAAATCATCTTGAGATATTTGAACAAAAATAATTTCGATTGATAACAATTAAAATGTTTTCAACAATTTAAGCTAACATGGAAAGAAAATTCATTTTTTATTTATTTCCTTGTTATTTACAGAATATTTTACAAAGACATGAATTTGAAACATTCTTAACTAAGATCAGATATCACAACATAAATAAATAATGTTGCAAAAACACTTATTCGTATCATGTTACAAAAAAAGCAGATTGATTACGAAGCTTGTGAATCTAATTCGTATCTTAAAGTTGATATCTAATGTCAGTCTTCGCGATGCTTGAAATGTTTACCGATATTTTTGTACAAATATAAATCCCAAACCTTTTTTGATTCCAAATGTGTTTGTTTCACGAATAAAAATAAACTCATCGACCTGATAGATACAGTGGACTTTCTTTATAAGAATTCTCCTTGTAAGTAAAATGCTCTTTATAAGCCACACACTCATATTAAGAAGTAATGTTAAAAAAAGTTCTTTACAGGAAGAAGCTCTTTATAGGTGACTCCCTTCAAAATTCTTATAAAGAAAGTTCATTGTATATTCAGATATCTACATACATACATCAAATCGTAATTTGATTTGCTAATGATTACATAAATATATTCTGGAATTTCTTTCTGGATGATACATAAAAACACGATAACTTTTGCAAATGTTAATATTTTAAAAATTCGATGCCTGGTGATGATGTATGAAACTCGCTGGAAAATTAATTCAAAAAATTTAATTTCGATTTCATTCGAGTCTCTCTTCTGGTATGAACATTTTTTGTAAAATACAGTAGAAGCTCTATAAGCGGAAACTGAAGGGGGTGGTCGTGTGAGGAGCTTTTCCGCTTTTAGAAAGGCTTTTCAATATAAATGAAGTTGAACGGGGTGGTCATGTTTGAAGTTTTTGCTCTCATAGAGCTTCCGCTTATAGCGCGTCAACTGTAATCAAATATCTGAGGGGTTTTTATTCATAAATATGTTATTGATTGAAGAACATAACATGCGAGTAAAAAGTCAATTCAATTGCGATAAGGAAGAAATGCTGATTGACGGATACATATAAGTAATGCATACAATGAAAACCTTTGAAAGCAACTTAATCCGCATGCATCTCAGCATTCATAATGTGAACTTTTCAAACATGATTTCCGATTAGATTCATAAATATGTCAAGTTGAAAAAATCTTATTGCTTTCTGTTCAATTTTGAGTTCCCTTCAAACTCGTTTAATATTTTTTTCAGACATTACCGACATGTATGATACTTGAAA